CGATGGAAAGCTGCACAGGAACTAGGAAAATGACGGAACCAAGAATACGTTCCAATTGTAAGGAGTGAAGGCGGTGATCTGCATAATTTTAGTGACAATTGTGTGCCTGCGTGAGGCGCTAGACGCATAGGGTTAGGTGAAGGGCAAGGGCAAACTATAGGTTTCGTTGACATGGGACAACACTTTGTTGTATCACAGTGCGGTGGAAGAGTGAAGCGCGTTAAGAACCAGATGGTTTCCTTGCAATTAAGGGGTAGTGTGAAAATGTGCTGTCGGAAATTCTCTAAGCGCCTTTCTGCCATATGGACCCTGAGAAAAAGTAAGCTCGCGGCTAACATACTGAGACGGCAGTCGCAAATTCTTTACCTTAGTACGTCGGACGTGATGGGAAACTTGGAAGCGAAACCGAAAGGAAGTAAAAAGAGCCTGCGCGAACGTTGCGATGCCTTCGCCTTGTCCTCTAGGACGCTTTACTCGGTCACGGTTATTATACAGGTGACAAACACCGTCGGAAAACCTATTTGTGGAATCAAATGATGGCGGCGTTTGCCGTCTCGCATGCGTACGTTTCATAGCTGCTCTGGAGACCATGGAGAATGGCGAGATGCAGACTTCGGACAGGCCATGGGCCGTTGCTGCCCCTGAGACGCTTTCTGGGGTTCCTACGTCTATTCTGTTGAGAGATATGCTGAAGTGCAGGGCTTTGAACAGGTTGGTGTCAGCGATAGCGGAGACAACGAATTTCCGTGCATCTCTGATTGACCATCATGGTAAAATACAGGGTGGTTGTAGTGGCTGTTCCCAGCGGGAATTTAGGGAGCTCGAGATGCTTGACAACATTACCCATTGCATGTACGAAGGTACGCTGCCTGTTACTGTGATAAGTGATGCCAGGTATTCATTGATATGTAGTTTCCAGGAATACGCATGGATGCAGAGCTCAGGTGGTCAGTTGTTCGACCCTTTGAGATGATAATGTAACGGACTTGAAGTGGAAGAAACTTTTATCGCGTACAATCTCAATAAAAATCACATTTCTTTTTAAAAGAAGTGAAGGCCATTGGGCAGCTCGGCAAAGCTTCTCATCTTGATTTCTTGAAGGAGCACGGAAGGTAATTCAAATGGCAAAGCGCCGGATGCCATTGTGTACCGGTGTCGCCAAATATGAGACGGCCCGGACTGATAAAAATAGGACTTAGGACGGAGATGCCACCCGTATGATGTGGCCTTCATCTGCTACCTTGGTGCGGCACTGACGAGCTGAAGACTGAAGTACTAAGGAAGAAGTTTTTCGTTACATACAAAGGAAAAAGAGACTGTAACAATAAATTCGTACATGACGAATAGAGGAAACCCGGTTGTGTTAGTTCGCAAAGAATTGAAAAATATCTAACCCGGCCTTTTTCATAAGATCCGACATCGAACCATAAGACTTGTCTGCCACTCGTCGTGAATGCGCGTCTTGAAGGATATCTCTCAGCAGCTCTACCTCGTTCAGCACAGGCATATTCTTCAGTGGCTCCTCTCGGACGATGGTCGCCAACGTGTCCCGAGAGACCGCATACATCTTCTGCGACCGGATAGGAGGATCGCTCCTCATCAAATTCGACCGGACGCTCTCTTGGGTCCTGACAATATACTCCTTGCGTGCCTCATCAAGAATCTTGGCAGGGTCATTCTTCGCGCCAGCTCCCCGCCTTTTCTTCTTGATGATATTGTCAATGTGAATATCAGATTTAGAGCGAACGATATACGTCGGGATATTGTATCGCTCGCAGTTCCTGAGAATAGCGATATCTGTGGCAGTGAAGCGGTCGTTGAAGAGGACAATTATGGCATCGAAAATGTAGAGACCGTGGTCGTTGAAGTAGGTCCAGTCAGAGCACGCAAGCGTTCCCGATCCCGGGACATCAAACCAGATGAATGGGTGGGCGGGATTCGGATCAGGGTAAGGGGTAACCATCGACGTGCTTTCGACGATATCGGCCATAGCAGCACCTTCATCATCATCCCAAATGCCTCGAAAGGCATTGATAAGAGACGATTTTCCCGTTCCCGAAATTCCAGTGATGGCGAGATGAAACTTGCCCTCCTTGTAAAAACGACGCTTCGTCGCCTCGTATTTCTCCTTGGAAGGCCATTCGACTGGACGAATACCTGTCTTCCACTTCGCCTCCATCGCCTCCTGGACCTCCATCGCTTTCTTCATCTCTGCTTCCTTCTTGCGCACCTGCTCTTGCAACTCGTTGGCAGCCTGAGCAGCCCTCTGAGCAGCCTCGTGTTCTCGTCTGGCAATTTCGGCTTGCTCTTCCTTCTCCCTCTCGAGCTGCGCTGCTATCTGAGCCGCCATCTGGACCTCCTCCTGCTGGACTCTGATTCTCTCGGCCTGTTCCTGCCTTTGCTGCTCCGCAGTTTGGGCCGCTCTTTGCGCCTCCTCTTGCGCCCGCCTCAGTCTTTTGGCGTGCTCCTGTCTCTCTCGTTCGATTTGCTCGAGGTGTCGTTGAGCTCTCTCCGCCTCCTCTCTTCTATGCTGTTCTTCGATGGCCTGCATTGTCGGATTGGGCCCGACTTCGCCGCCTCCAAACAACCAAGATATGACACCGCCCATGCTTTGACAATAGCTGAAAGTGACAGCAGTTAGATATGTGTAGGCACCTGTGACATGTGCTCGAGTACCTTTCTGCGAAGTAACGAAGGTTCTTTGGACAAAGCGTCGATACTCTAGCAGAGAACGTGTGAATCAGTATATATCATGCTGAGTTGTTTTATTCGTCTTACAAATTACAATGGAGACGCGATGTCGGTGATCGACGAAACGATGAACAGGGGATACGTCTATCGCGGCGACAAGTCGAAGACCAGAGGAGCGATGAACTGAGAGCTGTCAAACAAAAAGCTACTCCGTGAAGATTCTTATAAGCCCGGGTTTCATACAAAGAGCGAGCCTTGCGATCACAGCTCCAACTGCGCGTGCCCGTCACACGATAGGCGCCATCTGATTCTTTTCTTCTAGCAAAAATCCAAAAATATACCTTGCTTCGCAGATCATGGAAGAGACTATTGGTCGTTATCGATGGAAAGCTGCACAGGAACTAGGAAAATGACGGAACCAAGAATACGTTCCAATTGTAAGGAGTGAAGGCGGTGATCTGCATAATTTTAGTGATTATTGTGTGTATGCGTGAGGCGCTAGACGCACAGGGGTGGGTGAAGGGCAAGGGCAAACTATAAGTTTCGTTGACATGGGACGACACTTTGTTGTATCACAAGGCGGCGGAAGAATGAAGCGCGTTAAGAACCAGATGGTTTCCTTGCAACGAAGTGGGTGGTGTGAAGATGTGCTGTTATAAATTCTCTAAGCGCCTTTCTGCCATATGGACCTGAGAACAAGTAAACTCGCGGCTAACATACTGAGACGGCAGTCGCAAATTCTTTACCTTAGTACGTCGGACGTGATGGGAAACTTGGAAGCTAAACGGAAAGGAAGTAGGAAGAGTCCGCGCTGTGAGAATGTGGTAATGTCTTCCTCCCGTATGATTACCGCCTTGTGCTCTGAGTTGATGTCGACGTTAATAGCAACCGAATGTACGAATTTATCGAGAGGGAGAGATTATTCTATTGCACTCTTGGGTAGACCCAAGCGGAGTAGAGTGGCTCGACTGCTCCTTGAATTGATATGTACCTGGGGACGATCAGCCACATACATCGCCGAGATTGTGTTTGAAGCGAGAGCTATGGTAGATTTAACAAAAGAAAGGTCCGGAGACAATTCAATATGCTGAGATCAACTCGGGCAAGCTGCACAATCACAAAAGTAACAAAATGAGTAAAGACCGGGCCAAATCTTCTAGATACCAAAAACAAGGCTATACGAAAAAATGTCCACAGATGACCATAGCAAAAGAAAATAGAGGCAACCCGACCCCATTAGTTGTTAAAGAAACGGTAGACGTCCATGCCGGCCTTCTTCATGAGATTCGCCATCGAGCCGTATGACTTTTCAGATCGTCGCGAATACGCATCCTGAAGGATGTCCCTCAACAGCTCAAACTCGTTCAGCACGAGGCTATCCTCGAGCGGCTCCTCTCCGACAACCTTTGCCAGAGTGTCCCGTGAGACGGCGTACATCTTCTGTGAGCGGATCGGAGGATCATTCTTCATGAGATTCAACCTGACGCTCTCCTGCGTCCTCGTGATGTACTCCTTACGAGCTTCCTCGGAGATCTTCACAAGGTCGCCCCTTGGTCCAGCGCTTCGCAGTTTTTTATTGATGAGGTCGTCGATGTGTACGTCAGATTTAGAGCGAACAATATAGGCTGGGATCATAAAACGCGCACAATTCTGAAGGATTGCTACGTCGGTGGCTGTGAAGCAATCATTGAACAGGATGATAATGGCGTCGAAGATGTAAAGGCCTTGGTCATTAAAATAGGTCCAATCAGGACATGAGAGAGTGCCCGAGCCCGGGACATCGAACCAGACGAAAGGGTTGTTGGGATTAGGATCAGGATAGGGAGTAACTACCGAGGTGGTTTCAACAATATCAGTCGGAGCAGCGTCCTCGTCGTCATCCCAGACGCCTCGGAATGCATTCACCAAAGACGACTTGCCACTTCCTGAAGAACCGGCGATGGCGAGGTGGAACTTGCCCTCCTGGTAAAAGAGACGCTTGTTCGCCTCGAACTGCTCGCGAGAAGGCCACTCAACTGGACGAATCCCTTTCTTCCACTTAGCCTCCATCTCCCTCTGGTCTTCTAAAATCTTCCTCATCTCCCCCTCCTTCTTCTTCACCTGTTCTTGCAGCTCGTTAGAAATCTGAGCTGCCTTCTGCGCTGCTTCCCGCTCTTTTCTGGCATTATTAACTTGCTCCTGCTTCTCTCTCTCCAGCTGTTCAGCAACGTGAGCCGCTCTCTCCGCTGCCTCCTGCTGGATTCTAATATTCTCCACTTGCGCAGCCTGCCTCTCTCGTTCAAGCTGTTCCACATGCCGTTGAAGCTCGAGTTTCTCTGCCTCCGCTCTTTGAAGCTTTTCCTCGATGACAGCCATCGTCGGGTTTTCCTTGACTTGACTGCTCCGGACTGCGCCAAGGACGACTGCCACAGCGGCGGCTGCCCGGGATATGGTACCACCCATTCCTAAAGAATCCGAGGGCGGAATCAGAAATGAGGTTTCGGCTTCAGTTGTGTCGAGTACCTTGTATAAAAATGTAAGAAGTTACTTCGCCGAATACCTAAGCACAAAGGCGACGCCGGCAAAGACGAGCCTTAGGAGATCGTATTCGAAAAGAACACAGAAAACGAGTCTTGGAACGGATGCCGGATTTTGTGGTGGTATTTGTACGCCGTCAACGTGTACTGTCGCCACGTCTAACTGAATAGCCCTCATTTGCTACTCGATCATGAAGGTGTGTTACTTAACCCTTCGGTTTTCACAGAAGGACTGGAGAAGTCCAGAAATCTGGACCTGAGCCGCAATTCGAAGGGACATTCAAGCCCGCTCTCGCAGATGAAATAAGGTACCTCGCACTAGTTGGTCCCGGTTTCTGGTCATGGCCGTGGAGAGTGTCAGGACGCACTAAAAGTTGAATTGACTCCGGTGCTCCGTTTGCTACGAGAGTCAATGAGCCACGAGGTAGTGAAGGACTCAATAAGCTCACCTCACGGCAGGGGTGGTACAAGCTAAGGTGATCGGCAGTATTGAAAAGGTGCATTTGAGAGAAAGGGAGGCAATGATTGGATGTGACTAACTGCTTCAGGTCAGTTTCACAAGGCAGCATCACCCCAAACGGAGACGCTCAACTGTAATGCCTGCTTTGTGAGATCGAACCTTGACTAATAATGCAACGAGGAACTAAAGGTTGCGGGTGAATGTCGTGCTTGAGACGGGGAAAGTCTTCAATTTGAGGCCCTGGCACCTTCTCGGGCGGCGACGATTCTCAATAAAGTCAGCTCGGCGGTGAAAACGCGCGTGGCGAGCTGCGGGCGCAAACGCAAGCAAAAGGGGTGGCTATCAGTCATACTCCAGATTTCACATTGCAGTAAAGACTGAGCACTTACTGCACCGTGAAATTTATAACTGAAACTCCATTAATCACGGAGTGTATGATGCACCATGGTGAGTACATCTCAGGTCCTGCGCTGAATTAGGCCTCAGTTTCACATTAAAAAATGCATAAGATAGGTATACTGCACCAGAAGATTACTATATTTGTCCGAGATCTTTGAATATTCGAGGCCGTGCAGCTTGACTGTGATGGTGAGCTTGGAAGTTGGACCGTCGAAACGCGGCCCGGCTTCAAGTTGTGGCGTGAGAATGTTCCCTTTTTCAAACACGGGCGCACAGCTGTGAACGGATGTAAAATGGTGAACAGGGAAAACAAGAACATAACGCCTACCCTCCTGCTCACTCGTAGAGCGTGGCTATGTATCTCTGCAATGAATCGCAGGTTAACTAGCTAGATAATACCGAGGTCGCCATCGGACACTTACTAGCAGGAGTCGATGATGGTAGCGGCGTCCTATTGGTTGATGTTGAATAAGGGGGGAAAAAAGCAAATGAAAAGAGACGCACGCCATGTTTGGAGTCGATACCAGTGAGAGTTCCACCTATTTTGGGATAATTGGGTTTGTAAGAAATTATGTAGATGCAGGGAATCCTTACCGTCCTTGGCGTAGACACCGGAGATGTACACGTTACGGGAGCACTGGCTTGCGTACTAAATAGCAAGTGCCAGACAAGTCCCCTTGGGTGCCAGGACGAAATTAAACATACGTTTCCACAAAACCGGTAGAGCTGTGCAAGGAGGATCAGTTCAAATGGCGTGCGATTCAAGATGCAAGAGCTTGAATGACCTTTCCACAGTCTATGTAGAAGACAGACAGAAAACTGGATCTGGGAACTAAGGACTTAGGAGAAGTATGCACCGCTAATGAAGAAGATGATTTTGGGTTGGATTATTGGCTTCGCAGTAGAGAGAAGAGAGACAGAGGAAGGACATGCATTAACTGTTCCACAACCATTGTGTTGAATACCCTTGTCCTCTGCATGGTAGCACCACCACCGATGAATGTTGGTGTAGTTGCCTGCCTCATCGCTTTTCTGCGAGTCATAGGATATGGCTTGATAGCGCACGAGGCCATGGAGATAAACGTACGATGGTGATGGCATCCTCTGCGGCAAGGATATGGATTAGTGTAATGTACACACAGTGCTAGAGCAAATCGACACACCACAAGCATCCTCAAACTAGACCACACCGTTCGTTAGTAGAAGTATAACTCAGTTCGATGAGACATTTACCCAAACAAAGTACAATCTAAAGTCCTTTAGACGGAGACAGTGTAAGATAGAATTTAACAACATACAACCGGTACAGTCTGTCACAAAAGTGGGCTCAGATTGTTTCTCAGAAGGGTTGATGAATGAAACGACGTACGAGCGCCCTCGGCCTGGTTGGCACCGATGATAACGTTCTACAGTGTGGCGCCTTGGCGAAGGTAAAATACTAAGAATGTAAGAGTGAGTAATGCAACGCCACAAATGCCAAATTAAAATCGTGCCCGCGTCTTCCCAATCTACGAAGCCGCGATGACAAACTCATCAGCACAATAGCCAACCATGCGAGGAAATAGCATACCTCCTCCGGCTCGATCACTATCACAGACGCCTTTTCAGAAAGGTAAATTGACGGGTAGAGAACGGAATGGAATTGACCTGCAAGGACCACTTCCACGGCCATACTTCTTCCAACCACCATCAAATGTTTTGCCAGCGGTGACTTCGATGACTACACTGCTAGAGACAGTGCCGGTGGCTGTTGGCAGACCACTGGTGTAAGCGTTGCAAGCAGCGGAAAGACTTGCGAGAGAGGCGATAGACAAGGCGAGAAGCAACTGCGTGATCCTAGGGACTGAGTCAAATAGGACAGTGGCGTTTAATAGTCCTCGACTCGAACAACCTCCAAGACTTATTTTGGCACGGTAAAAGTCTGGATACGAATTGTTTTTGCGATGTTAAAATTCTTGGAAGAATGGGCTGTGCATAAACCAGCGGCGGGGAGTTGGTTTGTCGGTTTTTGGTATTGTTGAAGAGTTGACCTCAGCTTGAGTCCAGAGTATTAGACTGACTTGCGATGGATTTCGAGTTCCCACGATGTTAGTCTGCCAGGGTTTGGGACACAGAGATACAGCAATATCTATCAAATAAATTGGTAGGAGAATGGATATGCCTGGCCTGTGGCGCGCCGAAAAGATACTCGCCATAGCGAGGTCCACAGACGGACCAGGAGACACTTGAAGACCGGTTCTGAGTTGGCCTTGTAAGTTGGCCGAGCATTCATGGCGAAAACGATTTCTATACATTAATTAGATATCCTAAAAGCTGCCAGTTCAACTAGAACAGGCGTCAACCTACAGCAACCCTATGATGACAACCGCTGAACGGTATCAGGAGACCAGCTTACAAGACACAGGCATTGATCATCGATCGACTGGAGGGTCCACACGTTAATGTCAAGGCATCTTTGCTACCAGTAGACCTGAAACCCCACCCCCAGTGAGTTCGTCGATCCAAACAGTGATGCATGAAGCTCCGCATGGTTCGGATAAATATCTGCCAGGAAAATGGGGTGTTCCACACATCGGTGTGCTTCTTAGGTCCGAAAAAATCAGCCTTGTGAACACCACCAGCACTAGCATAGTTCAAATGCCCACCGTCCGAGGAGCTGACATAGCTAGCATTCTGTCAGCGATGTTTTGAACATCAATGGCGATGCGACCAATTTTATCTTGGGCAATATGATATCTATAAAAGATAGCCACTCCAGCCTGTGGGGTTATAGCTCAGTTGGGAGAGCAGTAGACTGAAGTTGACGAGTCATTTATTCTTCTAAAGGTCCCCAGTTCAATCCTGGGTGACCCCAAATGTTTTTCTTCCTGGTCTGTTGGAGTAGGGTCGAGCACGAAGCCTAAGTTACTGTTTTTTTTTACCGACCGAATGGGGAGGGTGTTTTGATAAGGTAATTTACCGTTACTTACCTATCACATGCAGAATCACATGACAGGCACACAGAATCGCAGATTCTTTTTATGTTTGTGTTTTTACTGGTTTTCTTTATCTCAAGGGCTGTAAGGCAGCAGAGTCAACGATGTTAGTGTTACCATGACAAACTGGAGGAGAGAGATGGATTTGATTCTCAGAATGCCTGAGGAATATGGAACATACAGAGCTCGGCAGTTTCTTCTCTCGACAATCCATCATATCGTCCTTGGCCTGCAGTGGATATGGGGCTGGACTGTGTTGATGGAACTTGGAGATAGGGAACGGAACTGGTGAAATGACGAACCTCGACCTCTCCCCGGTTGTAGAGATACATCATCCGGCCATTATAGGGTGAGGCTTCACTTCGTCGAGCATGGAAACCGCCACCTTCACTGCAAGTGCATACAGTAGTAAACTAGTATCATAAATCAGAGTCAACGAACCGTATGAAGATAAGTCATTCAGTGGAAGTCCGATGTAGAAAACAAATATTCTGTCCTAGCTACGGTACTCCCAAAGTTAAAGATAAGAGACAACCACCATCCAGGACAAGGATCGAACTAGGAGGGTAATTGGAAGTCATACAAGTAGATACTGACAATAGCACAATCCTGGAATAAAGTAGGACAAAGTATCATAATGAAAGCCTATGGCTGGATGAAAATCATGAGAGAAGTACAGTCAGGATAACAAAGGAGGGACAATGGTCACGGATTTCTCCGCATTCCAGGAATTTGCAAGATAGTAGAAGAGCTCCGCACCACCTCTCTTTATCAGATCCTGCATGATGCGCCAGGACTTCTCGGAACGCCGAGAATATGCGTCCCGAAGCATGTCCTTCAGCAGCCGGGGCTCGTCAAGGATGGCATTATTACCAAGGGATTCCTCCCGGACCATTAAAGTCAGCGTATCCCGAGACACAGCATACACCTTCTGGGAGAGAAGGGGAGGATCCATCTTCATCAGATTGTCCCGAACAGTCTTCTGCGTCTTGTCGAGGTACTCCTTACGCGCCACATCACGAATCCCTACGAGGTCACTCCCCTCAACAGCCCGCCTCGTTTTCTTCTTGAAAAGTTCCTCGATATGTCTGTCGGACTTGGAGCGAACGATATAGGTGGGGATATTGTACCGCCTGCAATTCTTCAGAATGGCCAGATCCCCATCTGTAAAACGGTCGCCCAGAAGAACGATGATGGCGTCGAAAATATAGAGCCCTTGGTCATTAAAGTATGTCCAATCGGGACAGTTGACTGTTCCTGAGCCCGGGATGTCGAACCAGATAAAAGGGTTGGCAGAGTTAGGATCAGGATATGGGGTAACGTCGGTAGTGCTTTCGACGACATCGGTGTCGGCAGATCCTTTCTCGTCGTCCCATATGCCTCGAAAGGCGTTGATGAGCGACGACTTGCCAGTTCCCGATTTTCCAGCGATAGCGAGATGGAATTTCCCCTCCTTGTAGAGACGCTGCTTGACCATTTCGTACTGCTCTCGGGAAGGCCATTCGACTGGCTGAACACCCTTCTTCCACTTGGCCTCCATCTCCTTCTGAGATTTCATCACCTTTTTCATCACCTCCTCATTGGCCTTCGCCTCCTCCTGCAGCTCTTTGGAACGTTGATTCGCCTTCAGCGCTGCCTCTTTCTCCCTCGCAGCTTTGTCGGCTTGCTCTTTCTTCTCTTTCTCCAGCTGCTCAACACGACGACTTTCGTTTTTATCACCCTCCACTCTGCTATACTGTTGCGAGATCGAGGCCATCGTCGGGTTTTCCTTGACTTTACTCCTTCGTATTGCATTCAGAAAGAAGGGGATAATAGCAGATATAGCAGCACCCATTCTGGAGAGATTGACAGTCAGCGACAGGGCGAGAGTTTGGTGTACTATATAACAGACCTTGGGGTGATTCTGAAATGGATAGAAGTTACTACTACTGAACGCTAGACCGTCCGGTTTACAAATCTAGGGATGGGTAAGTATATAAGCTTTGGGGAATTGAACATGCATTACTTACACGGGACAAAATGAAAAAGGCGAATAGGAGGGATACGAGACAGGCGTAGACTTGTCGTCATACAAGGACAGTAAGTGATAGAGGGACCGTCGGAAACGGCAGACTTCTCCTACCAGTTTTTATATAAGTATAACCGGACTTCTGATCTGAACTTTTCGCTGGTCACCTGTGTTGTGCGTGCCGTGGTGCCAGTCAAGCAATATCGTTTTAAGTTCGAAGTTCGAAGTTCGTGACTAGACCAAGAATAGAATAGTACGTTGAAACTCTGGCTCAGACGGAAGTCACAGAAGCACTTTTGTGGACAAAGATATAGTATATTCTCCACTGTATCACAGTTGACGACGGGTTCAGTGACGCTGGTCAGCATGTAGAACCAGAAGTTTGATGGAACGAGGTGCCCTGTCAATTCAGTCGGCGGCGAAAGGGCGAAGCGCTGTGAAATCACATCGACTTCATATCAGGAATAGGAAATGTCTGTTTGACGCCCGGTCCGAGAAATGCACTAGCATCTTGACAGAAGCACGATAGAGCAGTAAAGCAACTGTCCGCAGATGTTTCTTCTCGTGGGTGGCGTTCTTAGATTGATCAACGTTGACAGTGATACTACCAAGCTACCGGTCAAGCTCGAAGGAGGTAGTAGTAAGCATTGAAATATTGAACTCTGAGTCCTTGAATTCATCGACAAGGGTGTCTGATATCGCGAAAAGCCTAATGAAAATATGCCGCAATTTTTTATAGGATCCCATGTGGAGAAAAAAGGATGGTGAGCCTTTACACTTCCTTCTACTTGGATTTCAACTGACGACTGGTAACGAACAGTCTCTCAAATTCTTTCTCTCCCTCACCTCGAACTCTCGCCATAATCCTCGCTGAACACTTCTGGAAATCTTCACTCTCCCGAACCCCTTTCCACGCCGTCTCCTCCAACGCATCCCACCACTCTCCAGTGTACGGATGTCCTGGGGCTCCCGCATATCCCCACGGTTTCGCTGTATACGGCTGAACCCATGGATTCAGGACGACGGCCATTGAGGGATGCACGGGCCCAGTGAAATGCACAATCACTGGATCTTCAAAGTCTGCCGCAGAGAACGCGGCATCCCGCTCCGGGGTGGAAATCTTTGCGTACGTACCCAGTCCCTGTGCATTGTAGCGCAGGGGCAGCGATGTCCAGTCATGCTCGAAGTGAACGTTGAGGTGATCTTGGTCTTTGAATGTGGTTTCGGACGTCAGCTGGGAAATCCGGGGAAGGCGAAGTCGGATTTTGGCCAGGTCGAGCAGGAGGACACCAGCGTTAAAGTAGCCCTCTTCCTCAACGATAGAACCGTGCCCTTTGGGAAAACCGACGTCCAACACTGCCCCAAGTGACCCTCCCTGCAAATCAGTGTTCCATAAAGGGAGGAGAGGCCCACGAACGAGCGTATCGGAGTCGAGGTATAAAGCTCGCTCGACGGGGAGCCGTTTCATGAGATCGAGCTTCGCCCACGTAGGGCTTGTCTTGGAGGAGAGGTCATCATCGCGCTGGGGAATGAAAACGTGGGTAATCCTTGACTCCTTCGGAATTGAATGAGTGATCCGTGACCTGTCCTCCTCTGTCAGACCACAGTCGTATACGTATACGGTGCATCGTCCAGCGACGTTCTTCACGGCACTTCGTATTGCAACCGACGCCGGCATGGCGTATTCGGTATCCGCAACGATCGCGAGGTTTACGCCATATCCTGAAAATAGTTACACCTTAGCCCAGGCATCGGATTTTTCCTGAAAAGCAACAAGCATACCAAGGACATCTTCAAGAGCTCTCCTATCACCTACGCCATCCAGCAAAAACCCAATTCGCATTTCCACCACCTTGCGAATGATCATCTGGTAATCTCCCGGCCCGGACAGGCGCTCATATTCGCCATCGTGAAGTTGTAAAAAGCCGTCGATGCCTCTCTTTGGATGTTCGGCATTATCTCCAGCTTCTTTCTCCCACTCGTAATCATCGAACACGATCACGGCCCCCTCCCTCGCCAACCGCCATGTCAATTCCCCGTCCAAAAAGGTATCGTCTGCCCGATGCGAGCCATCGACATAGATCCAATCATATCCCGGCTCCGCAGCAACCACCTCCTCGTACAGGAGTTGCATGAGCCCAGGGACACTAAACTGTTCCAGGATACGGAACTTTTTGTTCGTGAGGCGGAGGTTGTGTAGGACCTTTTCATGTCGAGCTCGCCCATCGGCCGTTTGCATCATGTCAAAGTGGTCGATGGTGACGAGTTCCCCACCATCCTTGCACAGCTCCGTCAGAAGGAAGACAGCTGAACGGCCTTCCCAGGCACCTATTTCCAACACGCGCGGACTTTGGGACTGTACATGGCGGAAGAGTGTTTGCCATTCCGCGATGTGACCTGAGAACCAGTCTTGGGTAGAGGTAAAGTGGTAGTCGGGTGTCATGGTACAAATAATTCGGAAGGTTGCACTCCGTATTATATAGATGTTGTATCTCTTATCGATGATTTGTTCTCATAAGGCGCTAAAGAAAATGATTAGGTTTTGCAATCGCATGGTGCGAAAAAAGGCCTCGAAGTGCATCAGACTTCGTAGAGGACAAGCTCCTTCTACCGTCACGGCAGGGAACTCCATGAGATAAGAAACATCATGAGCTGCAATTTTTTTTCGAACGTAATACACAAAATAGGACATTACATATTGATCCAAGCAAAGCTATTGTTGCACATTAGCGACAGTTCAAACAAGAAACTAAATACTCACTAAATCAGAACCACAAGGACGAACCTCTGCAAACTGTTCTTCCTCTCATTTCTCTTCGGACCATCCCCCCATCGTCCGGTGAACCAGTCGAATCGCTTTCCAAGATAATACCACTGCCCTTGTTTGATGAGCCCGGCAGTCTTTCCAGCCTCGCTCGACATCCTAATAAGCGTGCTTTCCAAAATCGCGACAATTCTCGCACACCCTTGAACCAAATGACGCTCCCCCCTTTTTGCCGGCATCGACGCCTCATCGAATGGTTCCGCCCAGAGACGTCTGTACAGGTCGTGCAAGAGATTAATCAAGACCACAACCACTGCCAGCTTCAATCCCATCCACACAGGAGCAAGATGTCGGAGTACCATACCGGATGTAGAGATGAAGGTGGCACAAAGCAGAAGCTCAGCGGAATTGGGAGCGTAGTCCCAAGAGACAAACTGGGGATACATCCCGACGAGGCTGCTATCTCCGAACCCCCAGCCATAGAAGCGCCAATACGAACGATGACCATTGGACCACCAGGGATGTGTGACTATAACGTCTGGAGCAGAATAGAAGCCCTCTCCCGCAGGATTCGTCTCTTTCTTCCTGGCACAAAAATCAATGTCTTCTCCTCCTCCTGTCTTCGGGAAGCGGAGGTCAAACTGCACGCCGTCATTCACTCGACGAGAGATCAGATTGGCTGTCACACCCCACGGAAGATCATTCTTGATCTTTTCAGCGATATTCCAGAAGTAGGTGACACCAGAGAGATGCACAGCTGAAGTGAAGACAGAGTCTGGAGGGGGGAAGTGAACGTTTCCTACGAAACCCGCAGCGTTGGGATGAGCACGGATATGGGCCTCTGCTCGGGGAATCAAATCAGAATTAGGCTCAATATCGTCGTCCAGGTATATGATCCAGTCAGCCGATGACTCGTCCATCCCGCGGTTTCGAGACGCTGAGGCACCAAGATTGCTATCATTCACCCTGATACGCACATCTACTCGATGCCCGTATTTCTTCTGTAACACGTCAATTGCAGAAGAGCGAGGATCGTCGATGATGATGATGAACATCGTTGTAGCCATCGGAGACGGTCGTAAAGCGAGGATACGCTCGAGAAGAGGGATATCAACACGAAAAGAGGGGACGACGACATCGACAGCCAGCTTAGACTGGACGCCAGGACTCCGGACTTGTAACCACTGTCTCGCGACGTCGATGGCCCTGTCGAGCGTTTGAAATGACCAGCTTGGTGTGCGCAGTTTTGCGTATCTAGCATCCTCACTTCCGCCAAGGGAGTTTCGAAGTGTCACGTCCTTGAGCATGTACGAGCATCCCCATCGGCGATACAGCTGAAAAAGAAAAGGATCGCCATCCTGATTAACGAAGATTTCAGGAATAACTTCTCCGTTGAAGATATCCAGGTGGGTACGATGTACGACCGGGAAGGTCGGCATCCCAGGGAATGAGAGATCTCTGAACGCAACACATCCAAAACCCAATGGAGTACGATGTTCTTGCGAGATGGATATGAAGGAAGAATGGATCTTGGCCATCCATCCCTCATCCAAAATCTCAACATCATCCCCCATCAGAACAAAATAAGTAATCGTAGGATCACTGTACGCCGTCCTTGCGCAGTGACGCCAGAGACTGCAGACATGACCGCGAGGTTGATGACATATAATGGTCGTCACATCGAACCCAAGAAACCGAAGGATCGCTTCCGCCTTGTTTTCTTTCACAAGGAAAGTGTCGTCGTAGTCGATCGCAAGAATGATCTTGATACCAAAAGTTGTCTCTGCATCCGGGAGGAAAACATCCCGATAGGTAGTTCTCATCAACGAATCAGCAAAGCACCGCAGATTATCGAGGCACTCGGACTCTGAGTTCGTACCGCGCGAAGTGATAGGGAGCAGGATGGCAAAAGTCACAGCTGTGCGCAGGTTTACGACGGTGCTTGATCCAAGGCGATTAAGAATCTCGGCATTATCGTGTCGCTGCAAGAGGGTATCAAGCTGATCCGCAACCCAAACTCCCGTCCTCCTCATTCCCTCCTCTTGGGATACACAGGGCCTCCAAGGATGAAGGACCTGCAGAGCCGTGTCGTTGTTGGAATTGCGCGCAGCAACGCCAAGGGGTCTCCCCGTCTGATACTCAAATGACACGTCATCTGGCATTAACTTCGCACAGTCAAGTGCCAGATGCGCCAGGGCATTGATCGTCACAGCCTGGTCCGACCCAATATTGACGGGCTCGGTGTAGTCCGACCTGAGGAGCGCCAAAATACCCTCCACGCAATCGTCGATGTAAAGGAAACTCCGACGCTGACTCCCGTCACCCCATATCTCGAAACGAGGACGAGATCCTGCATCAGCAGCAGCTTTGGCGACAAAGGCTTTTCGAAGGAAAGCTGCAGGGGCTTTCTCTCTGCCGTTGAACCATGCACCGCCAGGTCCAAAGATGTTGTGGAAGCGCGCAATACGGATAGATAGTTTGTGGGAGAAGTGGGAAAGGATGAGCTCCGCGTTGAGCTTGTCGAGCCCGTAGAGACCTTGAGGGTCAGGGTGCGATCCTTTCGACCATACGTCTCCTTCGCGAAGCGAGATATCGCCATTTAAAGGGGCGGTGGACGCATATACACAAGCGGAAGATGCATAGAAGAAGCATTCGACTGCAGAGTCAATACAGGCGGAAAGAAGATGGAGGGTCATGAGATGATTGTCCTTGTAGATGACAAAATCGTTGGCGTCATGGATCGCGCCCATACCTCCCATGTTGGCCGCAAAGTGAAGGACTGTCTTGCAGCCGCGGACGACTTGGGTGCATACCCCTGGGTCTCGCAAATCTCCAATGTAATAGTCAGAGCAGATACTCGTATGATCAGGTAGTGGACCATGAATATCCACAACATGAACGACGTGACCTTCCCGGAGAAGTCGACGAGCAACAGCAGAGCCCTATGAACGCACTAAGTTAACATCAGAGAAACAAGGAATGGAATGCAAAAGACGAACAATAAAACCAAAACCACCAGTAACAAGAATTGGGTCCTTCATTCTCGTAACAGGTCGCCTTAGATGGAGAAAACGTAGCCCATTGCAGGTCCATTATATACAAGAGACGTGGACAATCTTGGTTTGCCTACCGCATACAATAATAACGGTCCAACAACAGCATATCTAGGCGCCCATCATCGACAGACGAGTTCGGGGTGTAGAGAAGACCGCTGCGGTCAGTTTCGAAGCCTCCGTTGGTCCAGACAAGCCCAGTTACATGAGGACGTTAGTCACCTGTGTACAATAGGCGCGCTCTCTTCACACGTTCCTCCTGCCTGCCAGTAATATGCACGCATCCATGATATTGGGGTCCATTCGCCGTGTGTGAGAGTGCGTAGCGCTTAGTTTCGCAAGTTATGCAGGATCCATGAAGTCATCGAAGCAGGTAAGCGTCATGAGGTTGAGCCAAAGTGGCAGATATGTGATGAGGCAATGACGCAATACACGACAATCGATTTCATATGGCCCTTTCCGGCAATTTCGTTACAACCTCCCCCCTTCACATCATCATGACCTCGAACGTCGAACGTAAAAGGTTACCCCGAAAAGTCAAACTAAGAACAAGTGGCAAGGCCTATTTCAGGTTGGGAAAGTCGAACTTGAACCTAGTACCCTAATTTGGATGTCTGGTGCCTAAAATTAATATTTGCTACTAACACTACATAATTTAATATAGATATCCAAATATACAACATTATAGCGAAAAAATAGGGGATCTCAAAAAACTTTTTTTTCAGGCCTTGCAAGGCGAACCAACCACCCTACCGGCTGTTCCGGGCCGACATTCCCGCACCATAAAGCCCCGTGACGGCCTCGTCAGAGAGAAACCGCTTATCCTCACCTCACTCGTACCATCTCAAAGCACTTCCTTCCCCCCAAAGGCGTTCCGTCCACCTAGTCTCGTCGCGTCTATGATTCTTTGTTCTCTTTTTTTTTTTTTTTGGCAATACGACGTGGTTAACGACCTTTCCACTGCACGGTAGCGAGCGATACGCTGTACGAATAACACGGGGGGGGAAGGGAACAGGATGACGTTTGGTTTATATTCAATACATCGATAACAACAGCTCCACACCAAAAGTCCACAAAGACATAAGAAAAAAAAAAAAATGCATGGTATACAAAGAAGCTTAGGATATATCACACACACTCTACAAACACTACTCCTCACTCCTCACTCCTCACATCGTAGCAGGCGCCCGTCGAAACGTATTCCGCGACGGATTCTTCTCCGTCGCGAGCTTATGAATCGCATTCATCAGATCTCCTCGACGAAGAGGTTCTGCGAGATCGTTTTCAATATCACATGAAACATGAAATAGCCAGCCAGGTCAAGCAGAAGTAAAAAAAATCTTACTAGTTATATGATCGTCCTGATGCCCCCAAAAAAAAAACAGAATTGTCAGAAATGTAATTCCGTCACTGTCCATGGAAAAGAGATCACAACTCACCATCCCCGCCTGAAGACATCGCTCACGGTCGCCGATCACTTTCAAAGAGGCCTAAGAAACGAATCGAGAAAAAAAAACAAGCTAATCGGGAGACGTACTGGCATGTGCAGTCAACGCTATGATCGGTATCCGCGACAGCCCAGTAGCCAATTCGTACGACCGAATGATCTCAGTGGCTTGTATACCACCCATGAACGGCATCGACACGTCCATCTAAAACAGCCACCAGTGAGCACATGGCAACCAAAAAGAAAATGGATCCCCCCAGCAAAACACCAACAAGAATAACATCAAACGGCTTGCTCTGCAGCACGCTATTCTTATACGACTCCACCGCCTGGTTCCCATTCTCAGCAATAGCAACCGAATGCCCGTACTTCTCCAATATCTTCACCGCAAGCTTCTGGTTAACCATATTATCCTCCGCAAGGAGAATATCAAACCGTAGGTCCGTCGGCACCGTCACAGGATTGACCGTATTCGACTCGAGGGCAGCCACCAAAGCGAAAGAGAGATCTTGGGTCGTCACAGGCGTCGTCAGTTGTGCCGTGATGCTGTTATCCAGACACCACTTGACTATCGAACAAGGTAATATAAGCACGCTAAACAGGTGGAGGTGACACCAAGACGCATACGGTTCAGCCGAGATATAGAGGGTGCGATCAGCACGATCGGTAGATATCTGAAATGGTCAAGTTCCCTGATACTCTCGGTCTAACAGCGCGTGAGCCACAAGCTCGACAGGACAAGGACGCGCAAAAAAAAAATCCATACCACCAACAAAGAATCAACCACAATCGTATCGATATGTGAACCTGAAGAAGGCTCAGACCCAACCTCCGCCACCGAATGCACGACGTAGGGCTTTAATCCCAATTGAGCAATCTGCTCCGCAACACCAGTGTCGTCTCGAAACGTATCCACATACAATATGGTCCGGTTCACGAACGGCGTCATTTTGGACAGGATGGTCTCCATCGAAACGCAACTTATCCGCGAAGTGATCGTGAAGAAAAACTTGCTGCCTTTCGTCACCTCGCTCTCCACCCACATGTTACCCCTCATTAGCACCACTAAACGTTTCGATATCGAAAGACCAAGACCAGTCCCGCCATATTCCTATGAACACAACCTAAGCGCAACGAAACACAACGACGAAAACACAGAGAACACACCCGAGTCGTAGACCCATCCGCTTGGGAGAACGTATCAAAGATTATATTCTGCTTAGACTTGGGTATACCAATGCCCGTATCAGAGACACAGAACTCAAGCACGACATTCTGGTCATCAGACGCCACCAGGCGCACACTAACCGCGACGAGCCCTCTTCGTGAGATCTTCGGAGGCGTGAACTTGATCGCATTGCCGACCAGATTTGTTATCACCTGCCGCAGCCGCAATGAATCACCAATAAGATGATCAGGAATATCAGGCGCGATATCGAACGTCAAGTCGAGGTTGTTCTGCGACGCGCGCGCGACTAACGTTTTGAGCATCCCGAATACGATGTGGCGAAGTGAGAAGGAGACAGCTTCCATCGTCATACGGCCCGCTTCGACTATAAAAATGCACGCATAAAAATGGTGGGTGCATGATGACAAGACCACGAACTTACTCTTTGAGATATCCAAGATATCGTCGATGATCAATAATAAGGATCGCGCAAGGCTATGAACTAACAACAGGCTCTCCCTCTGTGATCGGTTAAGATCGCTGTCCAGTGTCAACTCGGTCATCCCAATGATACCATTCATGGGCGTCCTAGAATGGCTTCATTCAATACGAGAAGAAACAGGAAAGATACAGGATGGTTCTCACCGGATCTCATGCGACATGTTCGCCAGAAACTCGCTTTTGCTTCTGTTCGCCAGCTCAGCGGCTTCCCTCGCAGCAGTATTCTTCTGAATACTATCCCTCAAATTGAACACCATGCTGTTAATGTGGGTTTTCAAAGAGTCCATCTCGCCGCTAGCCTCGACAGTTATGAACCGGGTGAAGTCGCCGTCCATAGCAGCGGCCGAGATCTGAGCGAAGCCACGTACTTGAGTAGTAAGGTTACCCGCCATGGCATTGACGGACCGTCTGGAACGAGCCAGGTAAGACCAGACAAGAGGGAAAAAGGAAAAAAAAAAAAATTGAAACCCACGTAATCTCTTGCCAAATACCCTGCACGTTACCCACATCAGCAACACCACCTAGTTTTCCTTCCGTCCCGACCTCTCTCGCGACCTTCTTGACCTCTACAGCAAAGATGTTCAGCTGAACGATCATCCTATTGATCGTTTCGACAAGCTCCAACATTTCGCCCGAGACGGATAGCCCAACAATCTTCTGCGTCAGATCTCCATGCGCCACGGCCGACTACAAAACCACGGATATCAGGGAAAGAGGCCAGAGCCATGGCAAATAGAGACGTTACATACCGTGGCAATTGCAATTGCCCGTACTTGGTTCGTCAGCTGTGAAGTGAGCAATGAGAAGGGGGAAAGAAACGCGGTAACAGATGGCCCACGTACATTACTAGCCATCACATTAACATTATCTGTCAAGGCTTTCCACGTCCCGGCAACATTCTTGACCTGAGCCTGACCGCCCAGTCTGCCTTCAGTACCCACCTCCCTTGCCACTCTCGTAACCTAACAGACCGGTTACGATGGTGTGGATGACTAGCCAAAACACAAACCTCATCGGCAAATACACTCAATAAAGAGGTCATTTGATTCACAGTATCTTTCAGCTCGAGGAACTCTCCCTTGACATCAATCTGCACGCGCTTGGATAGATCACCATTCGCCACAGCCTTGGTAACTACAGCGATAGACCGTACTTGGTTCGTAAGGTTCATCGCCATCAGGTTCACATTATCCGTCAAGGCCTGTAAACGAGATGAGATGAGATGCTCCTCTGATCAGCATAGGTAGGGTTACGTACCTTCCAAGTTCCAAACACACCAGGGACGACAGCCTGCCCACCCAGCCTACCTTCCGTGCCGACTTCCAAACTGACACGCGTAACTTCACTCGCGAAGACACTCAACTGCTCCACCATCTGGTTTACTGTGATTTTCAGGTCAAGCATCTCGCCTTGAGCGTTGACGTCGACAAGCTGTGTGAGGTTCCCCATCGCGACAGCCTTGGTGACCTTTGATATGGAACGAACTTGGTCCGTGAGGTTGGTGGCCATCCTGTTTACGTTCCTCGTCAGGTCTGCCCAGGTACCCTGCACGCCCTCAACTGTCGCTTGACCGCCAAGTATACCCTGCGTACCAACCTCCAACGCGACCCGTGTTACTTCACCGGCGAAGGCGTTGAGGTCATCGACCATGGAGTTGAACGTGGTCTTGAGCTGTTGCATCTCACCCTCGACCTCGATCTCTACTTTCCTGGTCAGATCCCCCTGTGCCACGGCGGTCGTGACGGAAGCGATGGAACGAACTTGATCGGTCAAGGATAAACACATGCGGTTTACGTTCCTAACCAACTCGAACCACACGCCCTCGACGTCCGGTACATCAGCCTGACCACCGAGCTTGCCTTGGCTGCCCACTTCTAGAGTAACTCGGGTAACCTCGGCAGCCAATGCCCTCAGTCGGACGACCATCCCATTGACGGTGTTCTTGAGATCGAGAATTTCGCCTCTGGCGTCGACCTCGATTTGTTTTGAGAGATCTCCAACAGCGACGGCTTTGGTAACCTGGGCAATGGACCGTACTTGACTTGTCAGATTGCCAGCAAGGACATTGACGACATCGGTTAGCTCTTGCCACGTTCCTTCGACTCCAGGGACAAACGCTTGGCCTCCGAGTTTCCTTGTGACAGAATGAGCGAGTAACTCGCGTTGCGCGAAGACAGAACACGCACCCCTCCGTTCCCACTTCCTGCGATACGCGCGTAACTTCCTTTGCAAACTGGCCGAGCCTCTCTACCTAGTAAACACTCATTAGAGAAATGACGGAGGACGTGGATCCACGCGACGCACCATGGTATTGAGCGCATCCTTCAGTTTAATCATGACTTCGCCTCGAACGTCGACAGTTATCTTTTGACTGAGGTCACCGTTGGCGACGGCATTACAAACGCGAGCGACGTCCTGAACCTGGTCCTTGAGGAGCTTGAGTTCCTCCACGGCGCTCATCCCGCTCACCCTAGCTGCGATATCGAGAGGTCCGCCGGTTGCGACAACAGATGGTGAACCGGGTGGTATATGCACGGAAGCTGATGATATCTTCATTATCGTACCAGGATCGGTGGACCAACAGGCGCATCTTGGGCACTGCATGGTATCCGGGAGGTGAGTGGGGGGAATCGAAGACGGTGGTGCATCGTGGACGGAAGAGCGATTTGGGAGGTCGATGGAAGACGGTAAGGGCTTCGAGATCGTGTCGACATCGGACTCGGGCGCTCGCTTCTTCTCTCGCGGATAAACGCCGCTGAGAGCATGCTCGGCAGCGTACATACGGTTGGCAAAGTCTTCCAGGGAACGTAGAATCGCGCTGGTTCCCCAATCGCTAGGGCCATCGTACATGGGAACTGGGGCACTCGGTGCGCCAAGAGCGTAAATAGAAAGTAAAGCAATGAGATGCGCTCGGAATGGATCCGTCTCCGCCATCGCCATGTCGAGAGACGGCGAGCACTGATAGACTGATCAAGCAAAATATTATCGGGACTGAAGATGGGCGGTAGAGGTCGAACGTAGTAGGGAGTAGAGGAGGTCGTCTGCATTGGCCAATTGGCAGTAGTTGCCGCTTTCAATTCAGCCAATCTGTGCGTCAGGGGGATGATGGAAGATCCGGAGTTTGAATCAAATACGGGGAGCCGATCCTGCCGACGCAATGCAGCCAAGCAATGGAAGGAACGTGGCTCCGAATGGATCCCCTTCACAATGCGACCCTGAGCGCATAACTCCACCAGCGGAATGTCCTTTTCCTATCATAGACTTGAGTGAAATGTCGAGCAAGGCTGGTCACATTCGGGGCCATTTAGGTATCAGTCCATTATGCTTCGTACATTGAATGAGAACACGAACACAATAGAAGGGTGACACGGCGATGGGTCAAGAACATCACAGAACACACTTGACCAGTCACGTTTCGGGCAAAATTTTGGATGGCCGAAGGTGAACTTTAGACCACCAGCGCCTTCCAAGTTTTGGTAGCCAACCGTGTGTTTCATCAAAAATGATCAACTTGGGCGTTACTGGAAATTGAAGGTTTACCCCAATGAGGCCACAAGAAAAGTATGGGGTCACCCAGGATTGAACTGGGGACCTTTAGAATAGCATCTCCGGATACCAACTTCAGTCTACTGCTCTCCCAACTGAGCTATAACCCCCGTAAGGACTAGGGTTTTATTGTATTATTCATATCATATCGTTTTGAGGACATACAGAACTTGGCTCAGGCTGAGGCCAGAATATTGCTCCTCCAACAATGGACGTTTGATCTCCGTTGCCGCCAAACTCACTGCAGGTAGGTGGAATGATCTTCTGGTATACTGGAAGCTACAGTCGATCCGAGTGGGGATGGTCTAGCGATAGAGCGAGCGCCCTTGTAGCTCAATGCTCTTCCAGTTGAACTAGCAAGCGCCAATCTTTTTTTTAAGGGGGCAAGGGGGGGGGAACCTTACGCTCCGCGAACCTTAGAATCCACAATTCCTACTTCCACTCATAAGCAAGTCTCGAAACTTCCAAGTTCTACGTGATCGACAACCTGTTCCCTGTGAATCTTGACCAGGCAACGCGCCACCATTCCTTTCCCTTCCCTATCAATCTGTTCGCTAGTCATTGCTGTAATCTCTGCATCTCCAAACTAACAGTGGGTCCGACCGTCTCCGGACTCAAATATTTCACCGTCCTCCTAGAAATTCATCATCAAAGTCGCCGCTCTTCGACAGTGCTCAGGATCGGGAAGACGCAACTACGACTCCAACTTCGCATTCGCACCATCGCATCGCATCGCATCGCATTTCCCCAGTATCCAACCTCCAAGACCCCCCATCATCAAGGGTACCCACCACGCCGAGAGAATTCAACACAACAGTTGGCCGTCCGCTTCGTCCCTCTTCACCCGAACCAAGATCATCACGATCAGCAGTCCGTCCTTCTCCTTCCTTCTTTCCTTCCTTCCTGCTGATCACAGATTACGAAAAGGCACTTCAACCTCTCACATCTTACATCTTAACCCCGCACACCATTTGACCTGACCTACGTTGGGGGACAACGGCACATATCATATCTCTCCTCGTAGCTGCCTCACCCCCCAGCCATCTCTGTACGGATACGAGTACGAGTACTCAACCCCCTCGTCATATTCCCATTTTCCCTACGATTCACATCCCAAGCCGTTCACAACCGCACCACGACATCAATCAAAGGTTCAAAGTTCGTCCCTCTTCACCAGTAACCAGGCTCGCCTCGTCGAAAAATAACCTGACCTGATCAACCACACATTTACGTTGCCTCTCATCATCAATCGCCGCAGTTACGCTCACCACCTCCAAAGAAGCAAAAGCAGAAGCAGAAGCAGAAGCAGAAGAAGAAGAAGAAAGAAACCAACCCAAGACCCACCCACCCTTCGAAACCCAAACCCAACAGCACCACGTAAAACTGCATTCGCCCCCCCCCCCCCCCCCCCCCCAGAACGAACAGGATTCCTTTCCCCTCATCAAAACCGCGAAAAAAAAGAACCCGGCAATCAAGAACCCCTCAGGCCCGCACGCCCTGACCACCCTGCCCACCCTAAAGGGATCTTCACGACGATCGCGTAGCACGCCGAATTTCGTAATTTATTAAATTACAACCCACAGAGTACGAGTTACGAGTTAACCTGCAAATGTTGTCTATTAGATATACAATGGTCCATGGATGGCTGATGCTATGCGTGCAGTGGTGGTGGTGGTGGTGGTGGGGATGGGGGGGTATTATATAAAACAAAAACGTAGAGTGGAGAGAATTCCAGGAGCAGGTCGTCGTCGTCGTCGTCAAAAAAAAAAAACCATGAATGGAAGGGAAGTACCCAGCCAATAACGTACATATCACAAAAAGAAAACAGAAAGAATGAAGGGTGGGTTGCAATTTACTCCGTGCACCGCGCGCTTCCCATTATCACCGCGCATACGCATACGTATACGTAGGCTCTCCGTACTCTGAGCGTCCCCGTTCCGTCTTGGCATACGCCATATCCGCCGCATACTCATCACTGAAAGGCGACGACGACTGCGGCTGCGACTCGGCAGTTTTTTTTTCGTCAGACCGTGAGCGTGAGCCCCCGTCGACGGCCGCAGTCGCAACAGAGATATCGCCAATGCCTGACCGGGTACCCCAGCCGGTCTGAACAAAAACGACACATGAACACGAATACATTTCGCGTTGTTGTTGCAGTAAAAAAAAAAAAAACGCACCTCGTGAAGCGTACAAAGAGCATAGAGCTTCATTATCGCGAAATAGTAGCCAAAGACGATGAAAGCCGGCACGTAGATGATGTGTTCTGGGTTATTCCATAGATGCGGAAGGAGCTTTGCCGTTCGTGTGGCAAACAACCAGACGACGTACGAAGCAAGGACGTTCCTGAGCGGGATCAGTTAATTGTGATAGATAGATAGATAGACCTAGGGCCGCAGGGATTGGATCACATACCACCACGGTAAATGATATCCCCCCTGGTCGACGGGTATAGTACTCTTGTAAATAACATACCCTACTAGGCATGGGCCCACCAGTAGCGTGAAAGGATTGAACAACTTGTCCACCTATGGTTATAGCGTTAACACACGGCCTTACGGAAAAGACAAAGAGAAGACGACCCCACCATGGTATAAGCTACATATGGATGCGATGTCCAGATATATCGCTCCGTGAACAGGCTCCGGAGATCGGAACGCCAAGTGTTCCTGGTCCACCTCAATACTTGCTTCAGGAACCGCCAGTTAGGCTTCATCGTGCTAAGCAGCTCGGCTTCCCTACAGCACTGCACGTACGTGCTCCATCCATGGCTCACCATCCACCGAGTCAAGAACTTGTCGTCGCCCGAGTTGAGCTGGTACTTGCCCAACCAATAGTCATGTGTGAAGCCATGGAGAAACTCTGGATCTTTAAGAATGATGGTCCGATAAGCGGCGGTCCGACCTGACAGACAAGGAATGCCACCATCGATGTGCGTGGAAGACGAAATTTCAATATTACGGATTGTGAGCCGAAATGCTGCGAGAACCTCCCACACCGTCATCTTGGGGCCCACGGCTTGTACCCTCTGGCTGGTACCGACGCCGCCGACTTTCTGATCCTCGAAGCATGCAAGGACGTAAGGAAGCAACGTGGGAGGCCATATCGCATCGTCGTCGGCGAAGACGATGATGTCCGTGGTCGTGTTCTTGATACCGTGGCTCATCTGTAACCGCTTATTAGCGAATGGCACCGTTAGGACGTGTATTCGCGAAGGGTCGACAGCATTAGCGAGTTCCTGTAATGGGCCGAACATTTTCTCTTCGGTGATGATGAGAATTTCCTTGGGATTGCCTACGAGCCAGCTGCGCGCCGCATCCTTGAACTCCTCCCCTGCGTCTATCGTTGGCACGATGATGGTGACATCTTCCGAGGCGATATATGTTGGATTTTCGGGAAGGGGCACAGGACGGTAGACAACGAACGCGGAGAAACGGATGAGGTACCAGAAATAACGATAGAACCTGTCTGGAATTTAGATAACTAGAAATGTTACAAGACCCAAAAGACGCACCCAATAAGCCCAAAAGGTACAACTGAAAAGAAAAAAAACAAAAAACAAAAAACACGAGTTCAACGTCAAGTAGCAACGAGCATTCCAGCCACGTACAGACAGGAAATAGGTCCGATGTCAGATACAACATCTGACCAGACAAAGGAGCGAATAGGATGCCAGAGACGAAGAGACAATACGGCGCGCTGTGGGCTCGCGACCCAGCATGCAGGTGGGCGGGGGAAGGAGGAAGAAGGTAGAGAAAGGAACGGTGATGCAATTAATGCCTTCTACGTGCGGAGTTTCAAAAAACGATCCCACTGGATCGAGGACTTGTCGGTCACGTCGTCTGCCCACCCTTTGATCCGACGACGTTCGGTCACACGCAATGACTATGTTAGTGCCTCCGTCGACTCTTTTTTTTTTTTCTCGTAAATTCGTAAATTCGTAACCCGCTTACTCCTAGGGCGAGCACAAAGTAAATTCCATTGCGGGTTCCAACTTGACAGTGGTCAGGAGTAATTGATTAATCGATCATGGCACGCCAAGTCCTTTTTTTTTTGCTGGTGGGATGGAGGATGGATGCTGAGGGATTGCCGTCAAATGGAGTGGTGAATGGTTCGTAAGTTGAACTGCGGCTTAACACATATCATCGACTTGTACTACATGGAGTTCTTCCGAGTCCGCCTGCATCGTTCATTTACTTCCGTCCTTGGCACGAGCTCTAGATTCAAGGCCAGTCAAGGCCTTGTACTCCAGAATAATTAACAAATTTATTGCTGGGATACGGGAGGCTTCAGAGTTTTTTTTTTCCAATATCCCGTCCGCTTTTTCTGTAATGTTCTGGTTTTATTTTTTCTGTGCGCCAAGCTTTGAGCCGGGATTTCCGCCGCTGCGCCCGATCATCAACAAGCGGGAGATTTTCTTGGCGTCGTCATCGAATGGAGATAGGGGAGTATGTATTTATAAATTCAATTGACGCTCAGATCAGGGTTCGAATACTAGCATTCCTCTAGATTTCTCTTCGTAATTGCCAGCCGGTCAGTAATAACGTACCAACTTGTTATCATACGGATCAGTACGCTCACACCTTGGCTTGCGCCGACGCATGATAATCTGAATCTGATTCACAAAGCTCCTGGAACAGTAGATGGGGAGGTCGAGGCTCAATAATGATCTGCTGACACCCCGGTCCCCACAGTGCGAACCTAACAGATCCGGTGATCTTGCAATTGATATTATTGTCAACCGAGAGCAGTGCGACCCCTTGAATGGACCTTTTGTGTCGTGAACACGTCTTGTATAGCACGGCGGCCCTCATGACTCTAACGAGACCACGGCGGATCGTATAGAGGTCACGATAGATTGGGGAAAAAAAGACTCTTACCAACTGCTGCTACAAGACACAGAACAACGCAGCTGAATGACAGATAAGCACTTTGGTAAATAATCACACTTCCGAAAGCGGCCGCTCGGACCTGCCTGCCGAACAGAGACTTCCAAGCCCCGAGGAAAACGCGCCTTGGGTTCGGGAGGAAAACAATGGACGCTCTCTATCATGTGCTGCATTGGCGGGATTGCGTGTCAACCTGGGCGCTGCCGAATTGCCCGCCAAGAATTGTCCCAGGTGAGACGTCTAATGCACAGCTGATGTGTAACGTACCCTAGATAGACTACAGTTTCTAATCCAAGTGGAATAGGGGGAAACTTCAACGCAGGTCGAGATAAAAGATAAAAGATAAAGAAAGCCAAGCAACTCAGGAGGGGGCCAGCAACCAAAAGCGCTATCTTAACTGCATCGGTCGACGGGAACCTCCGAAGTTTCTAGCACACGACTGAGGGTTTCAAATTACCAACCAAGAACGCGTCGCCGTCGCCGCGGCGGTCCTCACTGGGTGAGTACTTAGTAGTTTCTTCGTTCAACCGTCTAGGTACAAGTAAGTTCTGGAGAGTTCCGAACTTCTAAATTCGCATCGTCCCGGCAGATCGCGCTGTCGAATTAACGTCGTGGGGCAACGATGGAAGGTGGGAAGAAGAGAGAGAGTTCTCGAAGCAGGTGAGAGGAACGGGGTGATGATTGGACAATGGACGGTTCGAGGGAGGCGCTGTGGGTCAGATGATCCATGGCCCACGCCCACGCCCACGTCGAGATATAACCACCTACCCAACGAAATGCTTTATGGCAACGCGGATAGGCCTGGCGTTCCTCGGGGGTCGTCCGCCTGACGTGTGGCTGCGCCTCAAGGCGCATTTACTCCAGAGACCCAAGTAAAAAATAAAAATAAAAATAAAAAAAGACGCCGTGCTGGATACGTTCTAGCCTGCCCACAGCATGTGTTGCGCAGATCGTTTCGCCCTGTCGGACGATCCTGGATCCTCACAGCGAAGGCCCTGATGGATGTCCGTCAATCGACTCTGCAAAAGCTCAATGGGGTGTCGCGATCGCAGCATCCCATTCCAAAAGCCGGTCGTACCGGGATCGGAAAATGCTCCAGAGTGCAGCCGAGTCAAGGGTCCAGAAGGTCCAAAGAAGAACCACTGCGAACATCTGGTATCATTCAATCCTTGCTTCCACAAGGGTAATACGTTACTGTAGAGTTCGAAATACGAGCTTGATAAGAGAGAGAGAGAGAGAGAGACCTCACGCACACGGGAAAATCCAGATAGGTGTCCCAAGAGAAAAATCAGACCGATTTTAAGAGTACCTGAGCGGTCACCCACCCATCCACCAAACACAGAGTTTCCAGTTGACCAGAACTCGGATGAGGGGGGGGGGGAAGAAAGAAGAAGAAAAAGCAAAAACGCGTTCAAGTCCGAGTCCGAGTCCGATCTAGATCACGCAATTTTACGTCACTGTTATGTCACGCTTGTGCCCGAGCGGGGCCCATTTTGGACATGTGAGTCGTCGGTTTCGAAACAAAATTTATTATAGGGACCCCCCATCCCATGACCACAACTGCTTCCCCTTCCATTCTCACTGAAATAATTTTTTTTTTTCGTTTTCCACCAAACACCCGCCTACCTACCTGTCTGTATGACAATGCAGAAACGAAGAAAGATCGCGGTTCTTGGGACTCGTTCTGTCGGTGCGTTCGTTGTGCAAGGGGCCGGGCCCGCGCGCTCATTCTCATTCTCATTCTGGGTCCCCCTCTACCCCCCCTACAGGCAAGTCTTCCCTCGTGAAGCAGTTCGTAGAGAACGAGTTCCCCCAGTCGTATTACCCGACGATCGAGAAAGCCTACGTGAAGGTGATCGTGCACAACGGGCAGGAGTACGCCTGTGAGATATACGACACGGCTGGACAGGTACGCCACCCCCCCCCCCCCCCTCCCCCATAGCTTTTAATCAATCAATCCATATAGGACGAATACACCCAATTGAAGGTCCACCACGCAATGGGTTTCCACGGCTACGTCTTCGTATACTCCATAACGTCCCGCCCCTCGTTCGACTTGATACAAATAGTATACGATAAGCTCCTCGACTTCAGCGGAAACACCGAATTGCCATGCGTCATCGTCGGCACCAAGAGCGACCTTCACTACAAGTACGTCCGTCCTTCTTTCTCTTCCCCTGCCTCCCTGCCTCCCTGCCTCGCTTACCATCCATCTCCCATCCCCCCCCCCCCGCAGCCGCCAAGTAGACATGCTAGACGGGAAAGCCCTAGCCGCAGCGAACAACGCCGCCTTCACCGAGGCCAGTTCCAAAAACAACGTCAATGTCGGTGAGTAGTAACCCCACTGCGCTTTCAATTTCCCTCTCCTCTACCTTTCCCCCCCCCCCCCCCCCCCCCCCCCCTCCCCCCCCCCCCCCCCTCTCGTCTTTTTCTCTAGCCCGGGCATTTGAACTCTGTATAGACGAGATCGAGAAACGCTTAGCCGTGACCCAGGGTGCTGGAAATGCTCCCGACCATCGATGCGTGACGATGTAAATGGGGCTTTGCTGCGAAAGGCTAAGGTCATTCATCCCTTCATTATATCTATTATATCTGTTTTTAAGTATATCCAAATTTGTATGTACCAGCTGTGCACCAAGTCCCGATGACCTTAACTAGTGTTAGGATAGTATATCAAAGGTGTATCATCTCCCGAAAGTGCGAGGTACCGGAGAAGGGAAAACTGCCAGCTTTTGCTTGTCGGCGCTGAATTAGCTAGCATGAATACAGCAATCATTATCAATCATGTCTATCTCGCTCTATCACATACACACCCCATTTAAACTCTAAGGTACAACAACAACCGGAGCCGCACCTGCAGTGACGTCCGGCTTCATGGCTGGGAACAGAAGAACTTCCTTGATGTCTATTTTACTAAGATTAGACGATTGTCACCTGACAGAGAGAAAACTAACTTGTAGAATCCGTCAAGAACATCACCAGACGGTCGATGCCCATACCCCAGCCCCCAGTGGGCGGAAGACCATGCTCGAGACTGTCGAACAAGGTTTGAGCTATTCTGATTGGACGAAGCAAACTATAAAGAAAAAATACGTACGCATCAATAAAAGTCTCGTCCACACCCTGGGCCTCGTCGTCGCCTTGTTCCTTTTGCCGTGACTGTCCATGCGAGCCGTCAGAATCAAGTACGATCCCATGATACGAGGGCTAATCAGCTAACCTGCTCCTCAAATCGCAGCCGTTGCTCAAATGGATCATTCAATTCAGTGTACGCATTGCAGATCTCCTTGCCACATAGGAATCCTTCGAAACGCTCGCAGAGTCCTGGCCGAGAACGGTGCCACTTGGCCAGAGGTGACATCACTTGAGGGTGACCGACTAAAAAGGGGCAACGTCTCAATCGAATAGAATCACATCATTCAAGCGCTGTTCAACAACGCACCAATGAAGGCTGGGGATATACAGAGAGGTTCGATGAACTCTCCAACGAGCTGTATTTGAACCAAGATCGGTCAGTCATCAGATCCACCTGACAAGAGACAAATATACCTTGTCCAACAGACGAGCGTTGGTTCGAGGCTCACCGCAATCTACATTATGCTGTACGAAACGTGTCAGGAACGCATAAGAACGGATTGAGAAAACAAAACACCGACCTTGATACAAAGCTCTCTCAGGAACTTATTCGCCTCTTCCGTATGAAGGGTATCACCGGGCGGGAACTTGGTGCCCAACTTTTCTTCTAGCGTCTCGATCATATCATACCTCTTCCACGGCTTCTTGAACTCTAGCTCGTACACCCTCGCACCTGGCTCACCCTTATTGCCATCAGGATGGAACGCCAACTGGGTACTCCCACCGGTAAGGTACTTGACCATGCCTTCCACAAGCGACTCCGTCATATCCATCACGTCATACATATCCGCATATGCCATATAGAACTCACAGATCGTGAATTCCGGGTTATGCGTCATATCGATGCCCTCGTTACGGAAAACGCGTCCGATCTCGTAGACGCGGTCGATGCCACCGACAACGAGCTCCTTGAGGTAGAGCTCAGGCGCGATACGGAGGAACAGGTTCAGGTCCAGGTCGTTGTGGTGGGTGATGAATGGCTTAGCCGTGGCACCTCCTGCACTCATCTGGGTGATCGGCGTCTCGACCTCTATGAAACCGAGGTCGTCCAGGAAGCGGCGGATGTAGTTGATGATCTTACTGCGACGTATAAAGATGTTTCGTGTATTTTCGCTGATGATGAGGTCGAGATAACGCTTTCGGTAGCGGGTCTCCTGATCCTTCAGCCCAAAGTGAGAGGAGGGCAGCTGATGTAGGTTGGGAGAAAGGAGAGTCATGGCGCTCGGTGAGATGCTGAGCTCGCCCTTTTTGGTGCGTGATGGGACGCCGGTGACACCAACGACGTCGCCGCGCTTGAAGATGGCGTGGGTAGCCTCGAAGGTAGAAGGATCGGAGGCATCTCTGAAAGAAAATGAACACCGAGGCAGCATGGGAAAAAAAATTGACGCGCACTGCTGGGTAGCCATAACCTGGACCTTCTTCCCCTCGCCATGCAAGTCATAGAAGACAAGCTTAGATCCACTCGAACGAATGTTGTGGATCCGGCCAGCAAGGCTCTCCGTTGTACCCTCCAACTTCGTTCCAGGCAGGATCTTGCCTTCGGCGCCGTACGTATGGATGTACGATGTGATGGACGACGTCACATGAAACTTGTGAGGGTAAGGATTGGGGTTCTGGCTGGCCTTGAGAGCCAGTATTTGCCGTGAGCGCAGCTCATAGTATTGCTACACCATCATCAACAACGGTGCGAGGATCGATCTGCTGGGACCACTCACGTTAGGGTTGAGGTCGTCGTCGGATGGCTTGCTCTCTGCCTTGGCCTTGGCTGCAGATGGAGGCGGCTTAGTCGCCTTGCTCGCTTCCTTTGCTCTCTGTTTTTCCCGGCGCTTGAGCTCCCTATCGCAAATCAATACCACGAAAGGAAAAAAAAAAAAAAAGAGTAAATCCACCAACGTCTTGGAGATTATCTCCCCCGTAACAGGGTCCTTGTGTGTTACAGCCACTTCTGTAGACATTTTTCGGTATATGGGACTGTATATATGCTTGGGAGGCGCGTATCGGGGGATCCTGGATGTCAGAGGAAGAGCACGAAAAAGTCGGTGCATGCACCAAATATGAAAAAATATGACTCGGAATTCTGAAAAAACATTATTTTCGATCATAAGTGAACTCGGCATTCTCGGCTTAGTCCTTACCGGCGGCTATCCACAACTTGGAACTGGGTGAGGCAAGCAAGAGATAATCATAAAGGGGATATTGTCAACCATATACGTACACGTATGCCTAGTTCATCTCTGACGCACCGCTTGCTAAATCTTAACCTCAAGGATGTCGACATCGTGCAAATCTCGCATCCTACGGGAAAAAAAGTATGCGTAATTTACTCTAAGGGTCGCAACAGCACCGAGTCCCGACGGGTTCGAGGAGATATTTCGGCTTGAAGGCATCCTTTACACGCACAACGTCGTAAGTATTCGACTTTCTAGTGTATATGATTACCTATCGTTACCGATGCAGCTGAACGAAGTTTATTAAGTATATTCTCTAGGCGACGAACACAGGACCATGCACATTTACATCTCGGACATAAATTCCCAACATGTTTGCAAGCGCAACCCAAGACCTGTATGCAAGGCTTTTTGTATTCCTCACGCCTCCCTCTATTTCAGCCATTTATGAGAGACAGAAAAGCATAGTCAATTGTATTTCTACAAAATACATATGTGGGATCCGCCCAGGCCAAACATATTTTCGCATAGAGAATAGTAAAAGAAACCCCAAGGGCTAAATTAGGCACAAAAAATGAAAAAAAAGATATCCAACGGTATTCATGATAGATCGCTAAAAACAAAATTAGTACAGCTAAAAAAAATAAATAGTCAAAACATCACCAAAAAAAAAAAAAAACAAAGCAAAGAAAACACACCTCTTCAAGAGCGTAGCGTATTTTACCGAGAAGGAGGCATATATCGCCTCTCCTCTCTCAGATCCCTCGCATATCCTGCATTTCTCGGAATATAGCTCTGCCTAACCGGTCTATCATACGTCGCCGGATACTCTCTCGAATACTCAGCAGAAGCACTGCTCCCAACCGTACTCGCAGACGTCGGCGGCTGGCTGCGCGACGAGTCATAATAACTACTCCCAGCGCTCGTCGGAGGCGGTTGAGCCGGTGATACTGGCCTCTCATACGACGCACGTCCGCCATAGTAATCATAATCATCCCTCGAGCGCTTCACAGGAGGCCTCAAGTCATCCGCAGGAGGTGCCCCCGCCAACCGAGTCCTCAGCGGGCTCGGACTCGGACTGCGTGGACGTCTGGTACCAGTGTATCCCGGACTGGGAGTCGTCGCGGTGCCTGTGAACCGCGCGTCCCTAGCTGAGGGAGGAGGAGGAGGAGGCGGCGGATACGTCCGCTCTCTGTCATCTCCTGCAGCAGCCGGAGCAGTAGTCGGTGGATAGTCTGTCAACCTTGTGCTCAGAGGTCTAGTCGGATCGTACGATGATCGCGCTGGAGAAGGTGCCCTAGGAGGTGGAGGAACAGGAGGATAGCTCGTCGTCCTTCGTTCGCGCTCTTCTCGTGTCTCCCATGCACTTGCTGTGGAGGTCCGAGGAGCATCGAATCGGTCTCGATCGGCGCCTCTGGCATTGTACTTCCAATAGTCGTCATCCCAATCACGGCCCCGACCTTCATAGGGCGCCTGAGAGTAAGAGGGTGGCCAGTCTCGTCTTTCTGCCGTGGTCGGAGGCGGCACATACCTCCGATCCCTTTCATCGTAAGCTTCCCTAGGAGGAGGATCCGGGGCAAACTGTCGCCTCAAGCGGTCTCGATCCCTAGCGAGGTCAGCAGCCGAAGGCGGAGAGAATCTTCCAGGGCCAGAGTATCCTTCCACTCTGTCCCTGTCCCTGTCCCTGTCTCTGTCCCTTTCTCTGTCTCTGTCTCTGTCGTCTTGGATCTCACCTGGACGGTAATTATTTGGGACTGGACGCGTGAGCTTGGGAGGAGGACGATAGGACTCAGAACGAGGAGTTGGTGATGCAATTTTTGAACGTGTATCCTCACGAGCTACCGACGGCGCACGAGTGTACGTGCTTGTCCTGGGTGGAGACACCGGCCTGGAATAGCGGTCACCTCCTGGACGAGGCGTACGATCATCTTGTCGAGGGGGACGGTCCTCTGCAGCAAGCGGACGAGCAGTGTCAGCACGGTCATGATCACGTTCAGGAACGTTTGATGTCGAGCGTGCCAGCCTATCATCAGGTTGAGGCGTTCGGCCATTGACAGGTTCCGTTGCCGATTGAGAGAGACGTTCTCCAAGACTAGGTCCCGGATGGGGAGGTTCAGCCCTTGGTTGAGTGATACGGTCTTGCAAAGAAGGACGGCTGATGCGCTCTTCAAGCGTAGCAGGACGAGCTGCCCTATCGTCAGCTGGAATCCGTGCAACCGGTTGAGAAGGCCTCGTGATGCCGGAAGGCGGTGGTAAATCGCGGTCAACAGGCCTGATAGGACGCTCATCACGAGAAGAAGATGGCGGCGCTCGAGAATCAGAGATGAGAGGCCGAGAATCCACAGGAGGACGAGAAAGTCGGTCGTCAGACAAAGAAGGACGAGGTCCACGCTCCTCAGCAGACAGAGGACGGGGTCCGCGCTCGTCAACAGGTGGACCACGACGGTCATCAGCTATATCGTCTCTGGAATCATACCGACGAGGAGGGAGACCGCTTCTGCTATAGTCTGGCTCGTAGTGCCGTTGATCTGGAGGCGGTCTTCGTGCATCCGTCATTCTTCTGTCGTCTCTGTACCGGAAGCGATCCCTGTCTCGATCGCGCTCCCGATCTGCGTCTCTTCCATCGTAGTGCCGCGATGCCTCCTTTGCCGGGGGAAGAGTACGATCGCGGTTGTTGCGAGCATCAGACAGGCGCCTATCATCACTAGATGGCACATCATCTCTGTGGGACCAACCCGCTCTAGAGCGCTCGTCAGGTGGTGGTCCTCTGGACTCTGCTCGCTGGGAGTCCGATTTGATGATCCCAGAAGAGTCATTTCCGTTGACCATTGCTGAGCGTTGAGGTGGAACAGAGTCTGCCAAGGGAAGTTGGGGTTTTTGTTCATTCAGTTCATGGGCGGGCTTGGCGGTAGTATTGTCAGCGTATCGTCCACCACCGTTGATCTGAGAAAAAAAAAAAAGAATGAGAAAAATTAGCGAAAAAATGATAGACGTGGTTGACGCACGCTGGCCGTATCTGTCAGCATCCTCGAACCCTCCCAATTTTCCTTCCGCGGCCTAGAGGTATCCGACGTTGGGAGTTGGCCCGACTTGGATGGCGATGAGCTGTCGTGATAGTCAGGCGCCTGTTCTGGATGATGCGGCACTTGGGATGAAGAGCTTGGACCCTTGTAGATGCTTGCGAGAGCCGCAGGATTAGGAATGGCACGATAAAACTCGTGCTGACCAGCCTTTATCCTTTGCTTGAGATTTTCGAGGACCTCGAGATCGTTTGAGCCAGGGCGGGGTTGCTGCTGTTGCTGATAAAAAGGCTGCTGCTGTACGAAAGGTTGAAAGTTGAAAGGAAAAGACTGTGCCATTGTGTACGCTTGATTGGATCCCATGAGGGTAGCAGGCGATTCTTCGCTGGGAGTAGGAACGAGATATGATGAGTTGGGATCCTCCGTGAGAGTAGTGACAGTTCGTTCGCGGTTGTTGGGGTTCCTCCCTTTTCGCTGTTTCTTGTTTTGTCTTGCTGACATGAATGGATCCCCCGCCTTGTTTGCACCTGCGTCCGTCAGAAATTTGCCTCCGCTTAACCGCTTAGACCACCGTGCTCACCGTCCGCGTCACGCAGATATGGTTTCAGATGCGCGTGGTACAAAGAAACATGTGTCTGACTTTGCCCTTGATCCGTGCGTCACCACTGCCAAATCGATTTGCCTCCTTTCTGATTTCGCCTTCCTTGCTTTTTTGTTCTTCTTATTGTTGTTCTCTTTACAGATTTCTTTTATATTGCTACTTATAGCGACGCATCCCAATTCCCTTCTTCGCTCGCAAGCTTAACCAGGTCATAATGTGGAAACTGAAAGACTGCGGGGGATGCTAGTCACGGTAACAATCGGACTCGGAGCCGCTCCAGGGACATCGGAATAAAAGACCTTCCTCCAGAGAACAAAAGGCCAAGAGGGCACAAGTTTGATATTTATTTCCGAACGAGATCAGAAAATGAAGCCCCTGTCGGCCAGAGTATATGATGTTCATGTATGGTAGGCTTGCCTGGAGATGATGTAGTTAAGGTTTTATAGTCATTACCAGATGACAAGTAGGAAGAATTGTGTAGCGTATATGAAGCGCATCCGAAGAACTGCTAGGGCGAAGGGCCGACTTAGATACGCTATAAGGGAAGCAAACTCCTGGAATAGAACAGCATCGAGTCGTTCTCGCAAACGACATACCCACAATCGTTGGTAGATGCGGATCGCCTTTGTTTTCCTGTTGACTCTATTACGAAAGGAATTCCTTCTGAGATAGAGACCGTAGAGCAAGGATACCGCTGACTCCCGTAGGATTCACCACCAGGACAGATAGCGGGCCACGAGCGATCTATCTTCCCCTTCATCGTCAAGGATCTGTCGGTTCGGATAGTCAGAAAATTTAAGGATAGACTGTTGATCCCAATCAGCTACTTTGTTCCTCTGCATTAGCAATGAGCAGAATGCGGTCGAAAAAGATGCTGTAAAGGACGGGCCAAAATATCTGCTCGAATCCGCTAGCACCATTGTGATGCTTGAAATTACGCAGGGCAATGTAAATTTACTCGGGCCATGAGTCACGATAATTGCAAAAGATGTCTGGGCTACACAATCTAGGAGCGAAGACTAGAAGCATGCATGGGATGAATTAAGCATACTTACTCAAGTTCCCTGCATGACAGACCCAATGATGGCGGTCGTGACGTTTGATAAAACAATAAGGTATTCTTCAGGATGTTGTTATTGCAATACCGAGGGAGCTTTGCATTCCTAGCAGAACATGAGATCTGAAGAAAGGTGAACGAAGACCCTTACCTATTGTAAGAGCAATATCCAATGTTTTTAGCGTAGCTCATATTCAGCGATAACATTCAAACCGAATAACTTTCCGATCTTCGCATCGAGGGCAAGCTGCACAGTAAGAAATTCCAAGATGCGGGTCCATCGAGCGACGTTACGTGTCCGAATTCTGTTGACCCGAGAGAAATGGTGAGACAACATCAAACAGAGACAGAGAAAACTAACCAGGCAGAATAGACAGAAGGACGCGAAAAGGAGAAAACCCGTACGCGTACATCCCAAGGAGGACGAAACTCGTGTCAAATAGCGAAATACCACCCAGTCTACCACCATGAGACGAATCCCGAGAGCGAAGGCCTGGCGGTTCGGGGAGACGCCCAATTCCTGACCGCGGAACTGCCACTAGTGATATAATCAATACTCTGCCTCTTTCCCTGTGCGCTCTTCAGAAGATATCACTTCATGTTCATGCCCGAGCTGAAAGTGACATGACGGCTTCGAACACATTATTCATGTCGAGTGTGGAGGTTTCTTTGGTTTTAGGCAATGAAGACATCGACGAAACCAACAGCGGAATAGATGAAAGCTGAGAGGACATAACGATGGCTTTCATAAAATGGGCGGGCACGGATCGGTCCTACGTGAGGTAGTGCGAGGAGGTAAATCGGGTGAAGGAGTGGTGGGGCCTACGTTTGGACTGGCGGTGGAGGGAAGGATTGGCATCCATTGATGGGATTGTCATCTGGGACGTCGTTTGGGAAGACGACAACAGCGTCAAGTGCGGGGGAAGGTACTGCATGAGGGAGGAAGATGGTGGGGGAGGAAGGAAAGGAACGACGGAGTTGTACGCAAGATTGCGCGTGATATTTTGCAGATATGTATGAAAAAATATAATTATGAACGAGAATTCGAAAAAACATTATTTTCGTAAGTGAACTCGGCATTTACGGCTTGGTCCTCTAACACCCAGGATCCCCAAGACGTTGGTGGATTTCCCTTTTTTTCCATCGCATTTCTGATTTGCGATAGGGAGCTCAAGCGCCGGGAAAAACCAGAGAGCGAAGGAAGCAAGAAAGGTGGCCAAGGCAGAGAGTAAGCCATCTGACGATGACCTCAACCCTAACGTGAGTGCCTTTGCCGATCGATCCTCGCGTCGTTGTTAACGAAAGTCTAGAAATACTACGAGCTGCGCTCGAGGCAGATACTGGCTCTCAAGGCCAGCCAGAATCCCGATCCTTACCCTCACAAGTTTCATGTAACCTCATTTATAACAACGTACATACGGCTCCGAAAGCACGATTCCACCCGACCGCAACGTCTTTGGGCTATCCCAGAAGATCGAACAGCATCTTTGGATGAACCTGTAGCTCCAAGAGTGGAACAACACAGTCGAGGATGAGGATGAGCGAGAAGAGGAGGCCGAAGAAGGTGGAGTCAAGGGACTGGAGAAACGATCGGTTGAGGAGACCGTGGTCACTACCAGCCCGTGCAGATTCGTACATGCTCTTCTTGAGAATCCTGGATTCAGCGTATTGAAGACTGGGAGAGGTTTCGATGGGTCATCATCCGGGGCTGGGAGAATGTGTCTTGGGTGGGTGCGTTTGTGCCAGAGTTACTCTAGCCAACCTTTGCAGATTAATGCTTTGCAGCCTCTGGCTACTGAAAGTGCTAAAAGTGCTAATTGGGGCGTATTTTACGAACGAGGGAATCGCAGGCATAAGTGATCCTTAGTGAGTTGCATCCTTGATTTTTTTCCCGTCTTCTGATGTGCCTGCGATTGCTAGTACCAAGGACCGCTGTGGTTGTGACCGTCATTTAAATGGATCGAGATGACGCATTCAGTGTCTGCAACATGTCCAACATGTTAACGAACAGCCACAGGACATGTCATGACTAAGTCGAAATCACGGAGGGGTGTTTGTCTGGCGATAATGGATCAAGAGTGCTATGAGGACGTGTAGAAGAACTCGCGACGACGACAATACCAAGCTATTACCAAACCACTCAAGAGAACGTTTTGGCGTGGTGCAATAGACATCACGACGTACTGCAGTGTGAAATCTCGCACCATTACTGATCAACAAACTGTTCTGCGCACGCAGCTTTCCAACCTTGCTTTTTCACCATCTTACCATCGTGACGCAAGGCGCTTATCGTTGCCATCTCCGTGATGCCACAGTGACGATGTGAAGAACAATACTATTTAGCAAATTTGCGGAGGTACTGGAAACCGCCGCCGCCTGAGAAAGTGCCGGACTCAAATTGAACAGTTTCCACATCGCGAGAACTCCGCCTGTTCCTCGTCACATTGTTTGTAAAGTTTTGAACTTCAGCTCAATCTCACTAGGCCGACATCACAGAAGTGGGAATCAGTTCAGTGTCTCCGCTTGAGGTGATGCTCTCTTGTGAAACTGCTATAAAGCGGTTAGTGCCATTCAAGCATTGCCCTGCTTTCTCTCCAATATACTCTTTCACTGCCGATCACCTTAGCGCGTACTTCTTCTGCTGTGAGATATGAGTCTCTTCGCAGTCCTTCACTACCTCGTGGCTAATTGGCTTTCGTAGCAAATTGAAACACCGGAGTCAACCCGACTTTCAATGACCCTTAATCTTAGCCTTGGTGATCACTCAAAATGAACCAACCCCAATGACTGCGGGGCGCCTTTGTTGCCTGTGGCCGGCCTTCGAATCTCTGGGCGCCTCCCCAGAACTTCTGTGAAGGTCTAAGGGTCATGTAGCACACCTTCACAAGCGGGTAACAAGTGGAGACCAGTCAATACACCCAGCACTTCCACAGCGTACAAATCACCACAATCATCGGGTTTCCGTTCCAAGGCCCGTCCTCTGGTCTTTTCGACTCTAACTCTCATCTCTGTGGTCGTCGCATTTGTCTTAGGTCTTCCTCAGAGTCACTTTTTACAACTTTACACAAAGGTGCTCGATACAACTGAAGAATAAACATCGCTTCTGACCTGTACGTTTTCAGCCCTCAGGTTCATTAAGAATGGGTGCTGCTGGCTCAGTCATTCCTGCAGTTGTTGCAGCAGCAGGAGCCATCCCCGGTATCCTTGGCGCAGTGCGGGGCAGCAAAGTCAAGGAAAACCCGACGATGGCCACCATCGAGGGGCAGCTCAAAAATGCGGAGGCAGAGAAACTCAAGGCCCAGAAGCAGGCGGAGCAGTTCGAACGAGAGGTGCAGGCGCAAAAGGAAAGGATCAAAAACCTGCAGGATGCAACAGACAGAACGAGTCAACTTGTCGAACAGCTGGAAAGGGAAAGGCAAGCGCAGGCCGAGAGAAGCAGGGTCCAGCAGGAGGAGGTCGAAAGAGCGACTCAGACGGCAGCGCAATTGCAGAGGGAGAAGCAAGAGCAAGCCGAAATTGCCCAACGAGAACGGGAGGCAGCTCAGAGGGCTGCTCAGGCTGCTAAGGAGTTGCAAGAGCAGGTGCGCAAGAAGGAAGAAGAGATGAAGAAGGTTTTGGAGGTCCAGAAGGAGATGGAGGCGAAGTGGAAGAAGGGGATCCATCCGGTTGAGTGGCCTTCTCGCGAGCAGTACGAGGCGAACAAACAACGTTTTTACAAGGAGGGAAAGTTCCATCTCGCCATCGCTGGAATTTCGGGGACGGGAAAATCGTCTCTTATCAATGCCTTTCGAGGCATTTGGGACGATGAGCAAGGCACCGCTGCGACGGATATCGTTGAAAGCACGTCGGTGGTTACTCCTTACCCTGATCCGAATCCTGCCAACCCTTTCATTTGGTTCGATGTCCCAGGTTCGGGAACACTCGCGTGCTCAGACTGGACCTACTTTAATGACCAAGGACTCTATATCTTCGACGCCATCATCGTCTTATTTAATGACCGCTTCACCGCCACCGACATCGCCATCTTGAAGAACTGCGAGCGATACAAAATCCCGACCTACATCGTTCGTTCTAAATCTGATATTCACATTGAGAATCTCATCAAGAAGAAAAGGCGGGGAGCTGGCGCGAAGAATGACCCTGCCAAGATTCTTGACGAGGCTCGCAAGGAGTACCTCTCTAAGACGCAGGAGAGTGTTAGGTTGAATCTGATGAAGAACGATCCTCCGATACGCTCGCAGAAGATGTATGCTGTCTCACGAGATACGCTGACTATGGTTGTTCGGGAGGAGCTGGTTGAGGATAGTCTTGTGCTGAACGAGGTCGAGCTGCTGAGGGATATCCTTCAGGATGCGTATTCGCGACGATCGGAGAAGTCGTACAGTTCCATGGCGGATCTCATGAAAAAAGCCGGCATGGATATCCTCCGTTTCTTTACCAACTAATGAGGTCTGGTTCCCTCTATTTTCTTCTGCTACGGACATTTTTTCTTACAGCTTTGTTTTTTGGTATCTGGAGGATTTAGCTCAGCCTTTACTCTTTTTGTTTCTTTTGCGGCTTGCCCGAATTGATCTCAGCGTATTGAATTGTCTCCGGACCTTTCTTCTGTAAAATCTACCATAGCTGTCGCCTCGAACACAATCTTGGTGATGTATGTGGCTGATCGTCTCTAGGTACATATCAAGTCGGATAGCAGGCACGCTAATCTATTTCATTTGTGTCTACCTAAGACTGCAATCAGAGTAATCTCTCCATATCAATATATCTGTACATTCGGCTGCCGTTACACGTCGACATCAACCAAGAGGACAAGGCGGTAACCATATGGGAGAAATGTTGAGAGTACGAGCCATGACTGCAGGCACAGTCGTACGGACCCTAATTTAGTTATCGGTACTCGCAATTTTCGCCGTTTACACAGCCACACATCTTAGCGACCTACCGTCCGCTAAGATATACATTCTATTTTCTTGTTCCAGGCTGACCCTCCCTGTGCTCGTATCACCGTGAAACCTCGCCACCATGACCTCCCAAACTTCCTGGCCCACTGCTCAACAAGAAAGGTATCATAGCATTCTCACGGTGCAGGCTCTTCCTACTTCCTTTCGGTTTGGCTTTCAAGTTTCTCATCACATCCGACGTGGTAAGGTAAAGAATTTGGGACTGCTGTCTCAGTATGTTAACGGCGAGCTTACTTGTTCTCAGGGTCCATATGGCAAAAAGGCACTTAGAGAATTTCCGACAGCACATCTTCACACCACCCCTTAGTTGCAAGGAAACCATCTGGTTCTTAACGTGCTTCGCTCTTCCGCCGCATTGTGATACAACAAAGTGTTGTCCCATGTCAACGAAACCTATAGTTTGCCCTTGCCCTTCACCCACCCCTGTGCGTCTAGCGCCTCACGCACACACACAACCGTCACTAAAATTATGCAGATCACCGCCTTCACTCCTTACAATTGGACCGTGTTCTTGGTTCCATCATTTGACTAGTTCCTGTGCAGCTTTCCATCGATAACGACCAATAGTCTCTTCCATGATCTGTGAGGCAAGGTATATTTTTGGATTTTTGCCAGAAGAAAATAATCAGATAGCGCCTATCTTATGACGGGCACGCGAAGTTGGAGCTGTGATCGCAAGGGTCGCTCTTTGTATGAAACCCGGGGCTTATAAGAATCTTCACAGAGTAGCTTTTTTTCTGACATCTCTCAGTTCATCGCTCCTCTGGTCTTCGACTTGTCGCCGCCATAGACGTATCCCCTGTTCATCGTTTCGTCAATCACCGACATCGCGTCTCCATTGTAATTTGTAAGACGAATAAAACAACTCAGCATGATATATACTGATTCGCATCGTTCTCTGCTAGAGTCTCTACGCGGCTTTATCCAAACAACCTTCGCTACTTCGCAGAAAGGTACTCGAGCACATGTCACAGGTGCCTACACATATCTCACTGCTGTCACTTTCAGCTATTGTCAAAGCATGGGCGGTACCATATCCTGGCTGTTTGGAGGCGGCGAAGTCGGGCCCAATCCGACAATGCAGGCCATCGAAGAACAACATAGAAGAGAGGAGGCCGAGAGATGGGAGCAGGCCGAAAGACTGAGGTGGGAACAAGAGGAAGTGCAGAGGGCTGCCAAAATCGCCGAGCAACAGAGATGGGAGCAGGACGAAAGACTGAGGAGGGAGCAAGAAGAAGCGACCGCTTCTGCTATGGCGTCCACCAAAAAAGAAAACAAAAAAAAGAAAAGAAAAAAAAGAAGAGAGGCGCAGAGAGCGGCCAAAATTGTGGAGCAGCAGAGGCAGGAACAGGCCGAGAGAATCAGAGTCCAGCAGGAGGAGGTCCAGAGGGCGGCTCAGATAGCAGCGCAGCTCGAGAGGGAGATGCAAGAGCAAGCCGAAATTGCCAGACGAGAACACGAGGCTGCTCAGAGGGCTGCTCAGGCCGCTAACGAGTTGCAAGAGCAGGTGCGCAAGAAGGAAGCGGAGATGAAGAAAGCGATGGAGGTCCAGGAGGTGATGGAGGCGAAGTGGAAGACAGGTATTCGTCCAGTCGAATGGCCTTCCAAGGAGAAATACGAGGCGACGAAGCGTCGTTTTTACAAGGAGGGCAAATTTCATCTCGCCATCACTGGAATTTCGGGAACGGGAAAATCGTCTCTCATCAATGCCTTTCGAGGCATTTGGGATGATGATGAAGGTGCTGCTATGACCGATATCATCGAAAGCACGTCGGCGGTTACTCCCTACCCTGATCCGAATCCCGCCCACCCATTCATCTGGTTCGATGTCCCGGGATCAGGAACGCTTGCGTGTTCTGACTGGACCTACTTCAACGACCACGGTCTCTACATTTTCGACGCAATCATTGTCCTCTTCAACGACCGCTTCACTGCCATGGATGTCGCTATTCTCAGGAACTGCGAGCGGTACAATATCCCGACGTATATCGTTCGCTCCAAATCTGACGTCCACATTGACAATATCATCAAGAAGAAAAGACGGGAAGCTGGCGCGAAGAATGACCCTGCCGAGATTCTTGACGAGGCACGCAAGGAGTACATCGTGAGGACCCAAGAGAGCGTCAGGTCGAATCTGATGAGGAGCGATCCTCCTATCCGGTCGCAGAAGATGTATGCAGTCTCTCGGGATACGTTGACGACCATTGTCCGAGAGGAGCCGCTGGAGGATATGCCCGTGCTGAATGAGGTAGAGCTGCTGAGAGATATCCTCCAGGACGCGCATTCACGACGAGTGGCAGACAAGTCTTATGGTTCAATGTCGGATCTTATGAAAAAAGCCGGGTTAGACATTTTTCAATTCTTTGCGAACTAACACAACCGGGTTTCCTCTATTCATCATGTACGAATTTATTGTTACAGTCTTTTTTTCCCTTTGTATGTAACGAAAAACTTCTTCCTCAATACTTCAGTCTTCAGCTCGTCAGTACCGCACCAAGGTAGCGGATGAAGGCCACCTCATAAGAGTGGCATCTCCCTTCTGAGTCCTATTTTTATCAGTCCGGGCCGTTTCATATTCGGTGACACTAGTACACAATGGCATCCGGTGCTTTGCCATTTGAATTACCTTCCGTGCTCCTCCAAGAAATCAAGATGAGAAGCTTTGCCGAGCTGCCCAATGGCCTTCACTTCTTTTAAGAAGAAATGTGATTTTTATTGAGATTGTACACGATAAAAGTTTTCTTCCACTTCAGGTCCGTTACATCTACCTGTATTTTACCATGATGGTCAATCAGAGATGCACGGAAATTCATTGTCTCCGCTGTCGCTAACAACCAACCTATTCAAAGCCCTACACTTCAGCGTATCTCTCAACAGAATAGACATAGGAACCCCAGAAAGCGTCTCAGGGGCAGCAACAGCTCATGGCCTATCCGAAGTCTGCATCTCGCCATTCTCCATGGTCTCCAGAACAGCTATGAAACGTACGCATGCGAGACGGCAAACGCCGCCATCATTTGATTTCACAAATAGGTTTTCTGACGGTGTCTGTCACCTGTATAATAACCGTGACCGAGTAGAGTATCCTAGAAGACAAGGCGAAGGCATCGCAACGTTCGCGCAGGCTCTTTTTACTTCCTTTCAGTTTGGCTTCCAAGTTTCCCATCCCATCCGACGTGCTAAGGTAAAGAATTTGCGACAACCGTCGCAGTATGTTAGCGGCGAGCTTACTTGTTCTCAGGGTCTATATGGCAGAAAGGCGCTTAAAGAATTTCTGACAGCACATCTTCACACCACCCACTTCGTTGCAAGGAAACCATCTCGCGCTTCACTCTTCCACCGCACTGTGATACAACGTGTTGTCCCATGTCAGCGAAACCTATAGTTTGCCCTTGCCCTTCACCCAACCCTGTGCGTCTAGCGCCTCACGCACACACACAACCGTCACTAAAATTATGCAGATCACCGCCTTCACTCCTTACAATTGGAACGTATTCTTGGTTCCGTCATTTTCCTAGTTCCTGAGCAGTTTTCCATCGATACCGACCAATAGTCTCTTCCATGATCTGCGAAGCAAGATATATTTTTGGATTTGTGCCAGAAGAAAAGAATCAGATAGCGCCTATTCTGTCACGGGCATCTTGATGAAGCTGTTTAGGATTGGAACCGCCGTAACGAGATTCTCAGCACACAGTCATACAAGTACCTTCACAGAGGCTCAGTTCTTTAGTCGGATTCCTCGCTTCGTTCACTGTCTGCTTGGTCGTCGACAGTGCTGCTACCGCATTCGTGTCCTGACCATCGCTTGAATCATCACCGGGGTTCCACTGTAAGTATTCAGGACAAGCCGATTCAATATTTACACTCACTCGCTCGTAGATTGTTATCAAGTTTGACATTTTAGTACTTCATTTGTGCCACCTCCGTTGAAAGGTACGTAGTATCAATTAGAGATGTTTTCCCGTTTCTGAATCACAAATGTTACAGCTATCATCAAACCATGGGTGGCGCAGTTTCTGCCGTCGTACGCACTGCTGCTTTGGTGATCCCTCCCATCGTAAGCGCTGCTGCTATCGCGATCCCTGCCATTATTAGCGCAATCAGGGACAGCAGAGTTGAAGACAACCCAACAATGAGGGCTATCGAAGAACAGCACAAGAGAGAGGAGGCGGAGAGAGCAAAAGCTCAACGGCGCCTCGAGCAAATCGAACGAGAGAGACAGGAGCAAGCCGAAAGACTGAGGCGGGCACAAGAAGAAGCGCAGAGGGCCGCCGAAATCGCCGAGCAACAGAGATGGGAGCAGGACGAAAGACTGAGGAGGGAGCAAGAAGCAGCACAGAGAGCGGCCCAAATAGCTGAGCAGCAAAGGCAGGAGCAGGCCGAGAGAATCAGGATCCAGCAGGAAGAGGTTCAATGGGCGGCTCATACAGCAGCGCAGCTCGAGAGGGAGAAGGAAGAGCAAGCCGAAATTGCCAGACGAGAACACGAGGCTGCTCAGAGGGCTGCTCAGGCCGCTAACGAGTTGCAAGAGCAGGTGCGCAAGAAGGAAGAGGAGATGAAGAAAGCGATGGAGGTCCAGAAGGCGATGGAGGCAAAGTGGAAGACAGGTATTCGTCCAGTCGAATGGCCTTCCAAGGAGAAATACGAGGCGACGAAACGTCGTTTTTACAAGGAGGGCAAGTTTCATCTCGCGATCGCCGGAATTTCGGGGACGGGAAAATCGTCTCTCATCAATGCCTTTCGAGGCATTTGGGATGGTGAACAAGGCGCCGCTATGACCGATATCGTCGAAAGCACGTCGGTTGTCACTCCCTACCCTGATCCGAATCCTGCCAACCCTTTTATTTGGTTCGACGTGCCAGGGTCGGGAACGCTCTCATGCTCTGATTGGACCTACTTCAATGACCAGGGCCTTTACATTTTCGACGCAATCATTGTTCTCTTCAACGACCGCTTCACTGCCACAGATATCGCTATTCTGAAGAACTGCGAACGATACAATATCCCGACGTATATCGTTCGTTCTAAATCTGATATTCACATTGATAATCTCATGAAGAAGAAAAGGCGGGGAGCTGGCGCGAAGAAAGACCCTGCCAAGATTTTTGACGAGGCGCGCAAGGAGTATATCGTGAGGACGCAGGAGAACGTCAGGTTGAATTTGATGAAGAACGATCCTCCTATCCGTTCGCAGCGCATGTACGCTGTCTCCCGGGATACATTGACGATGGTTGTGCGAGAGGAGCTGCTCGAAGATATGCTTGTGTTGAACGAGTACGAGCTTCTGAGAGACATCCTTCAAGATGCATACTCGCGAAGATCTGAAAAATCTTACGGTTCGATGTCGGATCTGATGAAAAAGGCTGGTATGGACATTTTCGGATTCTTTGCGAACTGACACGACCGGGTTCCCTCTGTCTTGGACAATTAGCTAATCATTATGTACAATTGTTTGCTACAAATTTGTTCCTCTTTGTATGTAACGAAAAACTTCCGATAGATTTCACGACTTGGAGTTCCCACTAATGAATCCAACCTCTTCCTTCGTTCCCCCCTCACGTCTTTCACAAGAACGCGTATGCTAAACCTCATAGCATTCAATTCAGTAAATCTGCTCTTCACGTTTGGTCCAAGCTTCTTGGCGCTGTGACTGTCAGGTTTCCTGGAATGATGTCGCACGACACCCTCTCTTTTCAACGTCCAGGAACTGTTCTAACAGCATTGTTTCATGCCTTGCTGCATGTAGGCCATGTGGCTTTCCGTGGTGCTTCACCCTTTTGTGTGGGGGCCTCATGATCACCATTCTTACCGCCCATTTTTGCTCTAACCCATACCAACGTTCTTCATCGATTATCAATCATCCCAAGAACATGACACTATAATCGGGAGGATCCGCCCGGTCATTCTGCGTTCATCTGACGTGTGATATGAGGGTGCGCCTTCCATTCGACATGAGTCCTCATCGATACTACATTGGATGTCGAATACACTGTGACAAGCGCCAGCTACAAGTTCCGTGGCAGTAGCACAAATTACGGCGTATTCCTTGGATCATCATATGTGAAAGAAACCACCAATACCACACCCCCAGAAGTTGGAGCTGCGGGTCACAAGGCTCGCTCTTTGTATGAAACCCGGGCTTATAAGAATCTTCACGGAGTAGCTTTTTTTTTGACATCTCTCAGTTCATCGCTCCTCTGGTCTTCAACTTGTTGCCGCCATAGTCGTATTCCCTATTCATCGTTTCGGCGTCTCCATTGTAATTTGTAAGACGAATAAAACAACTCGACGTGATATACACTAATTCGCGTCGTTCTCTGCTAGGTGCCGAGGTTAGAGGCTCGACGATTTATCCAAGGAACCTTCGCTAGTTCGCAGAAAGGTACCCAAGCACATGTCATAGATGCCTACACATATCTAACTGCTGTCACTTTCAGCTATTGTCAAAACATGGGCGGTGGCATATCTCGGCTGTTTGGAGGCCGCAAGGCCAGGCCCAATCCGACAATGTGGGCCATCGAAGAACAGCATAGAAGAGAGGCGGCGGAGAGAGCAGAAGCTCAACGACGCCAGCAAATCGAACGAGAGAGGCAGGAGCAGGCCGAAAGACTGAGGCGGGCGCAAGAGGAAGCGTGGAGGGCCGCCCAAATTGCGGAGCAGCAGAGGCAGGAACAAGCCGAAAGACTGAGGCGGGCGCAAGAGGAAGCGCAGAGGGCCGCCCAAATTGCGGAGCAGCAGAGGCAGGAGCAGGCCGAGAGAATCAGAGTCCAGCAGGAGGAGGTCCAGAGGGCGGCTCAGATAGCAGCGCAGCTCGAGAGGGAGATGCAAGAGCAAGCCGAAATTGCCAGACGAGAACACGAGGCTGCTCAGAGGGCTGCTCAGGCCGCTAACGAGTTGCAAGAGCAGGTGCGCAAGAAGGAAGCGGAGATGAAGAAAGCGATGGAGGTCCAGGAGGTGATGGAGGCGAAGTGGAAAACAGGTATTCGTCCAGTCGAATGGCCTTCCAAGGAGAAATACGAGGCGACGAAACGTCGTTTTTACAAGGAGGGCAAGTTTCATCTCGCCATCACTGGAATTTCGGGAACGGGAAAATCGTCTCTCATCAATGCCTTTCGAGGCATTTGGGATGATGATGAAGGTGCTGCTATGACTGATATCGTCGAAAGCACGTCGGCGGTTACTCCCTACCCTGATCCGAATCCCGCCCACCCATTCATCTGGTTCGACGTCCCGGGATCCGGAACGCTTGCGTGCTCTGATTGGACCTACTTCAACGACCAGGGTCTCTACATTTTCGACGCCATAATTGTCCTCTTCAATGATCGCTTCACTGCCACAGATATCGCTATTCTCAGGAACTGCGAGCGATACAATATCCCGACGTATATCGTTCGCTCTAAATCTGACATCCATATTGCGAATATCATCCAGAGGAAGAGGCGGTCAGCTGGTGCCAAGGTTAATCTTGCCAAGATTCTTGACGAGGCACGCAAGGAGTACATCGTGAGGACCCAAGAGAGCGTCAGGTCGAATTTGATGAGGTGCGATCCTCCTATCCGGTCGCAGAAGATGTATGCAGTCTCTCGGGATACATTGACGACCATTGTACGAGAGGAGCCGTTGGATGATATGCTTGTGCTGAACGAGGTAGATTTGTTGGGCGATATCCTTCAGGACGCGCATTCACGACGAGTGGCAGACAAGTCTTATGGTTCGATGTCGGATCTTATGAAAAAGGCCGGGTTAGACATTTTTCGATTATTTACAAACTAGTTTCTTCTCTTAGTTTTTTTTTCTCTCTCTGTATACATTATGGTACGATGTTGGTCTCCAGTTTGTCTTTAGCTTCGGTTCGACTTTAACCTGTCCACTGTCTCGTGTTAGTTCAAATTCACATTGTTCAGTAAAGCATTCGTTGGGCTTGAGCGTTCGTTTGCTCGTCTTCATTCTGATGCGTTCATTTCTGAGAGCTTGGCGCTTAACACTTTGCGAAGAGTGAAAGGATAAAAAGTTTCGAACGAAATGGGCTGCGCTGGTGGCGTGAGAATAATTTGGGCCCCCTGCGACGATTGGGTGCGATATCCCAAAGGTGCAATCAGACGCTCGATAACGGGTTGCACTATCTGCACTTCGACTCTGAAGAGAAAATCTCTGACTGTCAGTGTTGCAACAACTCCTTTCAATCGAAGAGGGCGGTTGATTTGGGCTTCCTGACTTGCTCTGTTACGACGACGACTCAGATCTGTTACTTGTATAGAGGCCAACGGCAGGAAAGCATGCATTTTATGGACCAAACTCCAGGGAATCATCGCTTATTTAGTGGCGTCGCCTACTGGGGCTGCAACAAAGTCCTTGCTCTCCACCCACAGTGCGAGTATTCTCTGTATGCCTCGCACTTCCAACGTTATTACATCTGTTCTGCAGCCTGCGGATAAAATGGCCTTCTTCTCGTATCATACAAGTGCTGCCGACTGTTTGTGACGTGCTTTCTTTCCAGGCCTACCCGTGTCTTGCAAACATCCGAACTAAATTTCTAAAGCACATTCTCACCGACGATCCCTTCATGGCTTGAGGCATCCGCGACCAGCGAAAAATAACAAATATCTCGAGGACATTCGGATCCCTATCTTTGAGGTCCTAGAAGCCTCCAACAGAACATGCGAAACTATAGCGTTTCACGATAAGACCCTAAGCAGACACCTATCATCATGGACGTATTATTGCATTCCTTCCTGAAGTATGATGCTGCATATGCGGTCCTACAATCCTTAGCCTCATCATTATCACTGACGCAGTCTTATACTCAGTACCGCGATTTCCGCAACAGAGCACATGCACTTCTGGCCCGGAACGCGGCGCAGGGTATGATACCAGAGAGGGCGGGAGGCAGCTCAGAGGATGTCCCAGCAGACGAACAGGAAGGAGGCGGAGATGAAGAAGATATCGGAAGACCAGAACGAGATAGAGATAGAGGCACAGTAGAAGAAGGGAACTCACCCTACTGCCTACTGAGTGGCCGTCTCGAGAGCGGGCCGAGGCGAACGAATGACGGGTTTACTGATGTAATATCGCCATCATCGGGTCTCCAGGAAGTGGCAAGTGGTCTTGGCGAACGCATTTCAAGGCATCTAGAAGGCGCTCTTCCAACGAATGTTGTTGAAACCACCTCAGTTAGTGCTCCCTAACCCATCCCGATCCAGCAGACCCTTTCATCTAGTTCGATGTTCCATCCTCAGGCGCTGCCTCATGTCCCAACTGGACCTCCCTTAACAACCAAGGCCTCTACATCTACGAAGCCATCATCACTTTCAATGATTGCTTCTTTGCCACTCTGCACACGCTATATGATCCCCTCCTGAGTTGTATACTCTAAATCCGTACATATTGACAAAACGTATCAATAAAAACGGCGGGGCGCTAGACCAAGGGTTGATCTCGTGAAGAATACTTTTCATCTAAATACGCGGCGGCTGCCTATGGCACGGTGCCGAGTCTTTGAGCGCGAATCTCCTGGAACGCTGCTCCGTAGAAGATGTTTCAATAATGGCTGTGTCTTTACTGGGCTTGGTGACTTCTCTCTTCCTGTTCAGGCAACTAGGATCAGAAAACCTCCTTCCTCTAGAACATAACATCCACGACGATTTCCATACCTTCACAGCACTTACTGAACTCAAGCGGCGTAAGGTGTTGCCGCTCAGTAATACCAAAGCGCATCCGAGATCAAATTTCTGGTGTCCTTGCTGTATCATGCCAGCATCTGCCCGCCTGGTTGAACGCGTCACATTAAATCGGTAGAAAGATAGGCCCATTGGCATGAAGCTTGAAGGAAACATTCTCGATATGTTCCATTTAGCTCTGGTTTGAAGAATCCGCTCCTTGGGCTTCCTCACAACTCCTTGACTAGGGCTTTGTTTCCGCAACATGCCTTTACAACATTCAACCGGTGTACATGGAAGTCATCGGCGCTTATGTTGCTTCATTGCTATCTTTATCCTTCGGCGAACTCGTAGGACCTTACATCAATTAAGCGGTTAGCCCTGCTTTCATGGCACTGCCTGTCCTCCCTAACAGTGTTAACAAGCCCCTTGGATTGTTCTATGATGTTTCAAGTTCTCGTGCGCAGCTACGGCTCGTAGAAATGAAGACTACTATTCTGCGAGTCTTATGACCTGCAAGTATGGTTCTGTGATAGGACACTGTAACCACATCTCAACCCTCGAATTTCGATATATTCTTGGCTCACTTGTGAAATCAAACAAACAACTGGCGCCTATTCTTGTGACAATACAGTACGAGCGGAACAAGAGCGGAATGAAGTGAAATACCTCGAGATGGAAACTTCCTTTAAAGGACTTCGCACATACTACAGGTATATATCTTCACAGAAGGCTGAATTTCTCTCGGTCCCTCATCTGTGCCTTTGCTTTGACTTCCGCCTCTCGCTGTGGTACCTCTAACCATCACTTTTGTGAACTCTTAAATCAAGACCCTGTTGTAAGTCTTGGAAACGAACACCTATAATGCATATACTCAGTCGCTTTTAGATCCCGCATTCAAACGTTTCGAATAAATTCCGCTCATCTTACTGTAATGTACGCAGCACAGAAAAGACCGTCCCGCATCTGATTGTAATATTTTTAGCTGTAATGTGGAGCTTTCTGTCTACGCTTGCTGCAGTTGCCGTCCCAACCATCCTCGGATGGATTCGGGGTAATAAAGTTCGGGAGAACCCAACCCTGGCCCTCATGGAAGAGCGATTTCGGAGAGAGAGAGAAGAATCCGACCGCCGCATCCAGCAGGTTCAGAACGAGGCAAACCAGGGTCGTGACTATGCCGCACAGCTTCAGAGGGAGAAGCAAGAACAAGCCGACATAGCCAGCAAGGCGAAGCTGGATGCCGACAAGGCTGCAAAAATCGTCGATGAACTACAAGACCAGGCAAACCAGAAGGATAAGGAGATGAAGAACATACAGGCGGCTCAAGAGGAAATGGAGGCGAAATGGAAGAAAGGAATTCGTCCTGTCGAGTGGCCTTCTCAGGAGCAGTATGAGAAGATCAAGCGACGGTACTACAAGGAAGGGAAGTTCCATCTCGCTATCGCCGGAATCTCTGGAACCGGCAAATCGACTCTTATCAACGCCTTTCGAGGTATTTGGGACGGCGACGAGAAAGCTGCTCCGACCGATGTTGTCGAAAGCACTTCCGTCGTTACTGCATACCCCGATCCGAATCCATCCAACCCTTTCATTTGGTTTGACGTCCCGGGATCAGGAACCCTCTCGTGTTCTGATTGGACGTACTTCAACAACCAAGGACTCTTCATCTTCGATGCCATTATCGTTTTATTCAACGATCGTTTCACCGCTACAGATGCAGCCATATTGAAGAATGCCGAGCGGTACAACATCCCCACCTACATCGTTCGTTCCAAGTCCGACATACACATCGAAAACATCATTAAGAAAACACGGCGGATGCCCGGCGCAAGAGCCGATCCCACCAAGGTTCTTGACGATGCTCGCAAGGAGTTCATGAAGAAGACGCGGGACAGTGTTCGCACTAATCTGATGAAGAACGATCCGCCACTTCGATCGCAGAGAGTGTATGCTGTCTCTCGAGATACGCTTACTCTGTTGATTCGGGAGGAGCCGCTTGACGATAACATCCAGCTCGACGAGTACGAGTTGTGGAAGGACATCCTTCAAGATGCGTTCTCGCGACGATCCGAGAAGTCGTACGGTTCAATGGCAGAGCTCATGAAGAAGGCTGGTTCTGGAATCTTAGGACTCTTCGCATAGTAATATGACAAGTCTCCTGCTGTGGTTCATTGCGCGTTTTTTGTCCATTTTCTCGCCGATATGCTTTACTTTAATTCGTCGATAGATTCTTGTTGCTGGAAATTTCTCTAATTTAGACCCAGATTTAGCCTAGCGTTTGTCGTCTCGTGCATTCAAATTTTATTTGATTTCTTCTTGCTGTGGACCTGTGGTGGGAGGTGGGGAGTTGTTATTTCATCGTGTGGGTTAAGGGACATGCTTGTCTGGGTACTTTCTTGTTCCTATCATGTGCGTTCGGCGTAGGTGGTTGTGACTGTTGGCCCGGAGAGCTGGCTAGACTACTTTTGCTTGCGGGTGAGTACCGGTGCGGTGCGGGCTGTCGGTGGAGTGGGTGTCTGTTTAATATATTAGCTGCAGGCGTGACCACCGTGCCAGCCGCACCTTTTAGCTTTTTCGTCGGTGCGTTGTCTCTTCCTCTTCCTCCTCGGTGTCGGCTTCGTCCGGAGGTTCCTCGCGCCCTTGGTGTTCCGCGGCCCTGGCTGTTCATTTCCCTGGGGGGGGGCTGTCAGGGCTGTTCTGGTTGTTGTGCGAGCACTCACGTCTGACATTTATTTTCTTGTTCTGGCTGTGTTATATTTTTTTGCGTCTTGAAGCGTTTGCTCAGACTTTGAGGCAGCGTCATAGTACCGTTTAGTGTCGGCCTTTGCTGGTTGGTGGCTCGGTCGAGAGCAGTTGTACGGATCCTTTGCGGGTGTCCCTTTCTTGGGAGTCTCATCGGTCTTGACTGGAGACTAGTAACTTCATGTGTTAGCATAGATTGAATTACGCATGGTAGGTGGACTCTCACAGATGTTGAGGTGCATTCTGCATCTTTATAGATAGTTCTGTGAACTGGTTTAGTATTCTTCCTTGGTTTTAGCTTGGCTGATGTGCCTCGGGTTTCTGCAGGACTATCATTCTTGATATGAGGCGTTTTGCTAGGGTCGGAAACCCGTGAGTGTTCCTGTGCGGGGCGAGACGAGCTCGCTCTTTGCCACTATCTCGTGGGAATATCTCGGCCACATGGTAGTTGGAGATCCCCGCCTACGAACGGATGCAATTGTCCAAGAGCATCCAAACCCTTCATCACTACTTCAGAGGTCTCGGCAAACCTGCTTAACGCGCTATCAATTTACTTTGTGTCCAGAGAAAGTAAACTAATTACTGTAGCTGCCGATGAGATCGCTGATTCGTTTGCTGTATACCAAAGTATTGAAAGACGCGTGGGACGTCGAGATATCAGAGAGACTGACGGTGTCTACTAAAGTACGTTGACAGAAAGTCATATATTTACTGTTGGCTGCTCACTGAACTTTTTAACCTTCTCTTGCGTCTTAGACAGCTCTGTTTTTGAATACACAGCTTCGTACGCGGCGTCCAGTAACTGCTAGCGATGCAGATCCTCCGGAACGTCGTCGCTATCTGCATCAGTTCCATTTATGATGATTTTCGGTAGAAGACGAGGCTTGTCCATGTCTGGGGAAGGAGTAACAAGATAGTTATCTTGCTGGAAAGCAAGTTCCCAGTCGTTTCCTAGGCGACACTTGTGTGGGCAAATAGACGTCAATAAACCGTCGAGCGGCTATTCAAACATAGAAACAGTCCCGCCTTCATGTATCCCTCAATACCGCTCTCTGATCTCCTCAACGAGATTGTCGTAACCGTCAACAGCCCCGCGACCACCCCCAATTTCCGCCTTAACAGACCGTCGTACGACTAAAATTGGATGTGAATTCACGTTTTCAACCACGTTCAATTAGTTTCAAGTTCAGAGCGCTTCAATGATCTTCCAATGAAATGTCTTCATAACTATCACTTCAGTTCTAGACCGAGGATCTTGCTAGTGCTCCACTCTTTCGCGCGTTCGCGGTTCAGCAGATCAAAAGGCGCCTCATCATCAATATATTCCCTGGTTGGCCTTCTTGTCACTTAAGCTATTCCTTGCAGCGCCTATCAACCTCATGGAATTCGTCACCTTGGCCGTGGAAAGCACCGTGTCCTGTATTGGCACAATACGCGCCGTTCCAGTGCCTCGGTCGTCCTAACCCATCTTGCATGACGAAACACCGTGGGAGCTGCAAGGCGGTTATGTGACAATGGCGCTGTACCGATCATTTGTTCCCAAGTTTAGACCAAGTTTCTGATCTTCTGTGAAACTAGAAGAGCGCTTATAATTTTTCAGGACAGTGAGAACGTGAAGAAGTAGAAGTTGGACCCTCCGATTCCGCCCATAAATTGTACAAGAAGCACTGCAGAGTGCTTGCCGGCCTCTTGTCTGCGACGCTTTCTTTGTGCGTCTTCTCACCTGGTTGCAACCCTATAAACATCCTCGTTCCTGTCAGTACATATAATACCTGTTTTTTTTCGGTTGCTGAGCGTGTTCACCATCAGATTGGACGTTGGCCAGCACAATCTGTTATTTTACCTTTAGGTATACGTTTTGTGCGGTGAACGTCGACCTTGGTTTCTGACTGTTGTTATTCCGTACAGAAAGAGCCAAAACCGCACTCGAACAAAATTCGACTATGGAAGAGCAGCTCCGGAGGCAGGCAAACGAGTCTCATCATCGCGCCGAACAGCTCCGTAGAGAGAGGCAAGAGCATGCTAATAACGCCAGGACGGCACAGCTAGAAGCTCAGCAGGCGGCGCAGCGCGCTGACAAGCTGCGAGAGCAGGCCAGGCAGAAGGATGCAGAGATAGAAAAGGCGTTGCAGGCTCAGAAGGATGTGGAGGCAAGATGGCGGAAAGGTCTTCGTCCCGTCGAGTTGCCTTCTAGGGAGCAGTTCGAGGCGATCAAGCGACGCTATTACAGAGACGGAAAGTTTCATGTCGCTATTGCCGGAAGATCAGGAACTGGAAAATCGTCTCTCATCAATGGATTCCGGGGCGTATGGGACGGCGAGGACGCTGCTGCCTCAACTGACTATGTGGAGAGCACCTCCGTTGTCACCTCATATCATGATCCGAATCCTGTCAATTCTTTCATCTGGTTCGATGTCCCGGGATCGGGGACTCTCGCCTGTTCCGACTGGACCTATTTCAACGATCAAGGACTCTACATTTTCGACGCTATCATAGTCCTATTTAACGATCGCTTCACCGCCACAGACGTAGCCATATTGAAGAACTCTGAGCGATACAACATCCCCACCTATGTCGTTCGCTCCAAATCTGATGTTCACGTTATGAATCTCCTCAAGAGGAAACGACGAAGAGCTGGCGCGGGGTGTGATCCCGGCAAGCTCCTTGATGAGGCTCGCAAGGAATTTGTTGCCAAAACGCAGGAGAGCGTCAAATTGAATCTGATGGGGACCGATCCCCCACTTCGGTTAAAGAAGGTGTATGCTGTCTCTCGGGATACGCTTACTTTGATTGTCCGAGGGGAACCAACTGAGGATAGCCTCGTGCTTGACGAGTTGGAGTTGTTGAGGGAGATACGTCAGGATGCGTACTTGAGGCGATCCCAAAAATCATACGCTTCGATCGCGAGTCTGTAGTAAATGGCTCAGTCGGACCTTCCAGCATGACACGAACCGAGGAAGTTTCTGAGATCGTTTTCTACGTTATTTATTTACATACCACTGTCCCGCCGCTCCATTCGCGGTTCTTTGATACAGCTTTCCCATCTCCTTGGCTATTATCTATTATCGTGTTACTTTACGCCACCTTGGTAGATTTGATTCCCGTTCGCACATTTCTTGGCACTTTTTTACTTTTGGAATAAAATACTTCAAGTTGCTTCTATGTGGCGGATGAGACTATTTTATGATTTAAGGCCGGTCTTAGTACTACTGAGTTTAATGATTCATATTCACCGACCAAGAAGGCGAGAAGGCCAAACATAATTTCGTCTTGATTTTTTTTGTTACTTAATCGAGCTTGAGCTTGAACTACGACTGGTAGAACAAAGGTATTTATTCCAGACGAAGTGGCTGCACACAGAAAAACTCGAAACCCTGATAAGTTTCTCATGGGCTAATACCAGCACCAAGAGACAGAAGAGACAGAAAACGTGTCCGATTTCGATTAGTTCTCAGACCTGTGCTACTTGAATTTCAGTCCTAGTAATCACAGAAATTTCTTGATGACCGTGGTTCTTAGAAGAGTCGGCGCTGTGGAAGCGCCGCCGTCACGATGATCGGGAAGTTGCCTTGCTTCCTACCATCACCATCTATACACCACCCTAATCGCATTCGAGGACGACCATCCATATCCAGAGGCAGCCAAGTCTGCAAACATGGGGGCTAAGCACCGGGATATCATACAGGATGATGGATGACGAGAAATACAGCTGAAAATGGTCCGAGAACTGCATGTGTCCTAGCGCCCATCGAACTGACATCAGCGTTACAGAGATCCGCAGTGAATCTGAGGCGAGGATATGACCTTCTTCTGGCTAGCACTCAGGCATATGAAGGATCCTCTCTGAAGGATATATTGACCGCTGATGGCAGGTCAAAAAGTTTTTTTTTTTTGCTTTCCTCGAGTTCCTACCTAAAAATACGCGTTGTAGGTTCAGCCAACATTTTTTTGCTCAGCCCAATGCACTGTCAATATGCCCCCCATATATCAGTCCCTGAACGACAAAGTTCTCAATATTTCCGTGTCGTTCATTACGCAGAATCATCTAAACCTAGCATTAGACAAAAACTGTTGTACTACCTAGTCGATCCTCAAAGCCCCTCCCTCACCTCTGGTAGTCCCCGCGTATTCTAGAGAGAACAGAATCTGAACCCTCCACAATCATTACTTTTATCATCCATGTATGCACCTACGTATGTTCCGATGAACACAGCCGGGACCTTGCCGCCTGGAACCTCGCGAGTGTCGTTTTTTTTTTGATCAATACATTTTCATTTGAATCCCACTTCCCCGCTCAGAGTCCGCACTCTACCTTACCTCCATCTTTCTTGCGGGCGTTGCCGGGTTCCTGTAAAGATACAATGGTGTGATGCAATTCTTGAATGAACCAGAAGACCGTCATGACCTTTTTCGTTTGTACGTTTTGGGGGGCATGGGCCGCATAATATGTGGTTCCTTGGTTTGGGTTCGCCAGTTACTGGATTTATGATCCAGACGTGCTACTGTGGCGCAGCAAAGCTATGGAATTAGGGTCAATAAGCACGGGCGGCACTGATATTGATGGAACGAGGAGAATATACCCTCTTTTTGCGTGTATGTTATCTCTGTTTAGCTCAACAAGCCTTCTTAGGACTGAATCTGATCTTATCCAGCAATTCTTCGTCCAGTCACGAATCAAGACCGTCATCCAAATCGTCATAAAAGATCGCGATCTCAATAGAACACCTTCTCTGCCTTCGTCTTGCTTTGTCGTCGGAATCAGGAGGAAGTTATTCCACGGGAATGATGACATCTTGGCATCAAGTTCTACCTGGCTATACGTTAACCAGTAATTCGCCGTGTTGGGTCCAGAGATAGCGCTGCCAGGACTTTATCCACCGCTCCTGGACTGTATGTTCTGCACGATATCTCCCAGGCCCACCTCGGATTGTCTTGGATGGCCAATAGGCTCTTACAAGACGATGGAACGTTGCTTAAGAAGTCCGGACCTTCATTGCGTCACCTCGCCTCAGGAGGTGCTGTTGAAAATAGGACTTCGTGATTGTTTAAATCAGCCAAAGCCCATAACGCAGCTTGCCGAGGAGTTCCTGCTCTCTTCTATCGCATGTCAAATGTAACCCGTTGGAATCCCTCGATCCCGACGGCACATTGCATCCTTCCTAGGATACAAATTACAGTTTTTTTTAAGGCCGTTCTGACGAATGAGGGGATGAGAATGACTTGTATCGCCTCTCGAGTCTCGCCGGCACCGGAGACAATAACGTTACAAGAAGGTGGCGTTTCAGTCATAATTGAATGGCTAACGATGGGGTTTGCCCTGTCCCGTGTTCGGAAGATCGCAGTCGCGGGTCAAAACAAAACATTGCCGACTCCATGGGGCAGTTTTGACAAAGCACTAGTGCTGTTGGAGAAAAGCGTATCTCACCTCCGCAAAAGTGGAAGTTCTTTTCACCCTGTGGCGCCGCATTGTTAATCAGCTGGAAGCGAAGCGTGACTCGTCCTTCCACCCGTGTATGTAGTCCGCGGTGTGTTCGAGGAGGTTTGACGGCGGAACTTCGTGAGATGGATGGGCTACGCCTGGAGGACCGCCTTCCGTGGCGCGGTGATCGACCTCTAGTACCCCGTGTGGTTCTGCGAATCCTTCCCCGAAGATTCCTGTGTGTCCCCATTGTTGATTTTCGGGGGGTGGGGAAACTCTGCAACAATGTGGATTCTTTTTCTCCGGTCTCGAAATCCACATCAGCTCTCATCCTTAGGCCCAGCCACGTTTCTCGTTTCAATAATCGATTTTGAGTTCTCGGCCAAACAGAAGAGCGCCCAGGTAGGCCTTCTCGTCGTCATTGCGTGCGACTTTCACTCAAGAGCGCATGTTCTGAGACGCAAATGGTAAAAGTGGACCAAAGGATAGGTTCTTCACAATTTTCGGTGCTTCTTTTTGGTCCAATAGCGTAATCGGCATGGAAATTCGAGTGAACGGAGCTGCTTTCTTTGGCTGCCCCCCAAGAAGCTGCTGCAGTTATATCTCCCGGAATCACGCTCTCGGCCTCCGGAAGCTCCGATCAACATCTCTGAGGAGCCTGTGGCGTCTAGGCCGCATTTACTATTCTTTCCTTCTTGAGAGCGTTTGATTGGTCATTATATATTGTTCGTACATTTGTTATTGATATACGCTCTGTGTGACGAGAATAGGCACCCGTTAGATATGTACGAAACGATGAATAGAAAGGGAAAATGTTGGGATAGCGCACAAGGCAGATCTGGCGAACAGCGAGCGTCAGGAATCTAGATAGATGGGTTAGAATCCAAGTTAAACCAGATCAGCCTGGTCCGGCTCGTCAAACCCTTCCACTCGTGCATTCCATTTCCAGCGACCTTCCAAGAATCCGTTCGCTGTGTCCTCCAAGACGATCTCGTTCCGCTTGTGCACGTAGACCTAGAAAAAATATATTTAAAAAATGTCACTCGGACAGCGAGTACATACCGTCTTGTCAGTCACCTTCTGCCTTAACGTCGGGATCGCATCAGCTTCTATCGGTTGCTCAAGCAGCTCGGCAAGTTCTTCCACAGCCTGTTCCAGATCTCGTTGATTATCTTCGAACAGCTCCTTCTCATTCCCTCTCGCGAGGTAATACGCCATGGCATAAGTCCATTTGAGAGTCATACGACATTTGTCGGCCTCTTCCACCGCCTTCTTCATGAACTGAACTTCGATCCAGGTCAACGAAGATGTAATCTGCATGTCCTCCATCTTTTTCTCGGTTTTAGCATACAAATCCAGAGAAAGCTTGGCGGATTGTTCATGGTTAGCCCAACGATTGTAGTACTAAAACAAACAGGTTAAAAATAACAACGTCAAAGAACGCGAAACGCACGTGTAGATATCGTTCCAGCGACGCGCGGCTTTTACTCTGAGCATCTCGAGCATCAGTCCCACTCTTCTCCTCGTATCGGTTGCAGGAGTACCACGAGGTGCCGTGTTCCGACCATGGACCCATGCAAACCCAGCAAAACTCGTGCTTGCACTTTTTACAAGTCATATGGCTGATGAACAATCAGCGCAAAAGATCTCGAAGACAACTATAGACGCGTACTTGCAACCCCCATTCTTCTCTATCGTACTCTGGCACTTCGGGCATTCTTTCGTGTTACTCTTGATCCAATTGGCTGTTTCGCTATCATCTGCGCACTTCTTCAGCCACATTTTGGCGACGCTGCACACCACAGGACGATGATCACTGTCGATAGGACATCCAAAACAAAAGTAGTGCTCCTTCGCCGCCACAGCTGAAGTTAACGCTTCTGGAGATCCCGGAATTCCCCGCGCTCCACACGATACGGCTGGTACAACCGTCGTCAGACTGGATTTGGATGCCGCGGCAGGACATGACACGGTATTAGTGCACCCAGGATGAGGACAGTATTTCAAATTTGGGTTGCACGAAACAAAGTGTCGGACGAGCAACTCCTGGAAACGGGCCCATGTGGGTTCCCCCTCGCCTGCGAGGGCAGATTGAATAAAGGTGTCTGGGGCTACAAGGCAACACCCTTCCGCCATGCATCGAATACAATGCTCGGCCTCGTCGCGAATTTTGGAGGTGATGTAGGTCGTCCAGCAACCTGTGCAGAAGAGATGATCGCAATCGAGCGACGCGGTTTGAAGATCTGATGAATCATCGTAGCATATGGGACAAACGAAGCGTTCAGCCTTTAGCCTGGTCTGTGCTGGCTGATAAGAAGATGATGAGGCTTTGGACGATGTCTTCGACGATGACGACAGGGTTGAAATGATCTTCGATGCCGATCTCGTGGTACGACGGTCGCCGATATGGGTCCGTATAGGCGAAGTTACTGACGGGGGTTCCGGTGCGGTGACGCCCGCAGCGACGAGAATAGTGTTAGGATTGTCCATGTATTTCTCGATTAGTCGTTCTTTGTTCCATGACGAGTGGCGCAGCAGCCGAGCGGCAATGCTAGACTATTTCCGCGTCAGCTACAGCGATTAAGGAATAATTACAACAAACTCACGTCGACACCCAAAATACCAATGATATACGCAACATCTTGCTGCATAAGCTTTTCGACAGCGGGTTGGTTGAGTGACTCGTACTCAATCTCATACGATTTGCGTTTGCTGTTAGTATCGACCTTGAAATCCTCAGTATAGTCGTCCATGTTCATATCGTCTACGGATCGCAAATGAGATACCGGGCTGTACATACACCATGAAGCGCTGTGCTCACCATCGTCTTGAGTTATATCAAACATATCTTCATCGTTGTAGTAGTCGTCATCGGAGAGGCTATAGTCGGACATGATGGTAGAATGAAGAAGGATACAAGGACGTGGTGGCCGACGCAGTGGGGACCTAGCTGGGTGAGTCAAGGTCACGTGCCATTACTCCCTTCCTTTCTTCCTTTTCAGTGTTAGGCTCTGTACCGCAACGCCTTTGTCCTCTATGTTCTTACTCATGTGCTTTGCAATAATCTGGAGGGAGATGAGTTTTGCTGGAACAAACCAGTACCTGATCCAAATTCCCATCCATTTATTACTGTCAACGAACCAATCCAACGGCAACCTGATCTCGTGTAGTAAGTTTTCCTTCCATGACATAAGTAACATAGAAGCATTTCTGTGCCTCATCGTCTTACAGTTCTTTAGTATTTGCCTCGTGTCTTGGGTTTCATAAATAGAAGCTTCGCCGTTCAATTTCTGTGCCACATAGCGTCGTGATGCTCGGGTGTTCTTCTCCCGTCGTGCGCAATATAAGAATCACGTCTTGGGACTTTGAGCAAATCTCAGGCTCGATCTTACTGGCTGTGACTCTGGGTTCCCTCATTGAGTACCTCACTGTTAACCCTATCTGTCGGAGACTTTTTCTTGGTCAAAGTAAGTCTCTTCTGCGGATCCCGGTGTCCAGAAGACGCTAATCCCTATCCCTATGTAGACGAATATGACTCCCCTGGAATCTTTTGACCATCAGCAACAAAGCGCCTCCAATGTCCCGTCGTCAAACAGGAGCATTGCTCAAAGGCTACGCCGAGAACGCGAGCGAGCGCTAGCACGTCAATCACCAAACCCCAAACAGAAGGTGGATATTGACACCGCCCATCATACATTCAACTCACCTACAGTTTCAGCGGAGCCACGTCGATCCAACAACCGGATTACCGGGGTCCAGCTCAGTTCAGCCTGCCAATGATGCGGTACGGCGCTGTATTGCTTCAGAAACGCAGAAGTTTATCATAATAAATCCGCTCTCAGGCCCAAGGTTTAATGGCGACGCTGTCAATAGGCACCGATTCATCCTATTCGTCCGCGTCATCTTCGGATTCATCCAAACCTGCTCATCTTCCCCGACATATACGTATCGCTCCCGCTCCACCATCTATTCCTTACCAAGAAGCCAAATCCGAGGTACTTTCAAGTTTCAACGATCTTGCCGCATGACTCATCTCGCATGGAGCAGGCGCAGTTGGCAGTCCGGAGCAAGATGATTCCGTTGTTGCCGTCACGGAGAAGTATGGCGCAACAAGCGCGACAAACGCGGAAGCGTGCCGAGGAGATGCGACAGCAGGTGGGCACATTATCTTTGTACGATCGAGCCATTGCTGATTTAAAAAAAACTATTTCGAAGCCTTCACCAAGTCAAGACCAAACCGAGGCATCTTCGTCGCAAGCTAGAGATCCCCATTCTAACCATTCAACGAGCCCATCGACCCACAAAAAGAAGGAGCTCTTCGTAAACTAATGTGCGGTCGAAGGGGACGTTTATTGATGCCAAATTCCAAGTTGATACCTCCCGATAAAGTTTTTTTTTTTTACTCTTACGACGAGTAACACGTTCAATATTATAAGCTGGTGTTCGTCGAAAGAAGGATCACATGCCCCCGTGCACGCCATCGTTCGCCTACTTTAACGTGTATATTTATGATACGCTCTTCTCCCTCCCGCATGGTGCTAAGCACTGGTGAGAACACCGTGCATAAATAAAAGCACTGCTGAAGAGATTCAGATCACGAAGAAGTCCCAAGGGCCATCTGACATCAGCCAAATAGTCAATTTACCATGAGAAGTAGAATCTCAGATGGCTCAGGTTTATGAAGTTCATGTCTGACAGACTTTTGGAATGTACGCCGGAACTCGCTTCGTCTCAAGCCCGGAAGAAGACAATCCATCAGCGTCAAATTTAAGAATCAGAACGAAATACGCCGACCCTTCCGCTCCTACTTTCGCAGGGGTGCTAAGGACCTTCGTCATAGAATCCTTGCCTGCCTGCTTCGCGTCCGAGTCAAATCACATGCCAGTAATGGTGTACTTGTATATTTTCAAGAAGTACTTTGAGGACATCAGATAACGGGCCCGGAACCGAACGGACCTCCAGCTCCTTCCATTAGTACTCATGTCTGTAGATCTAGGGGCATGTGTCGGTTCACTGAAGCTGAAGGTTCGCTACCGGGGCCGATCCCAAGTTTCGGTAGCGGTGGCAAACCCGGCGATTCAAGTCATTCCAAGTGCTCAGCAGTCTTTCATGTAAGTTCACGGTTGATTGATTATCCATATTTCGACGATGAATAGGGCAGATGGTCCAATACCGGTTAATTTCATGTGGGGTATATCCCGAGGTGCTAGTAAGATGCCGGTCGCATAATTGTAGCCACTAGCCAGTAAGGCCGTAGACTACGTACGAATCCGCGGGGGGGGGGTAACATTTAGGTATGGCCATACTTCAGCCAAGGCAAAGTTAATAACGGTGAGATTCAGGAAGCTACGTATATAATATCCGCTAGAGCATAATATCAACAACAACGAGAACCGATACACGTACCAATAATGAAGACACAAAGCCTTATGAAACGCCACCGGCCTTTGAGCTTCGTATCACACCTTCAGGACCAGGTTTCAATATGGGACTTTGGGTCACTCGTCTTGCGTCCTTGTGCTTCTTTAGGCCAAGCCAGGTCCAATATCAGGTTTCCAGACATAGATAAGAGCTAGGGACCAATCGGCTCGCGTACCGACTGTCCTATGATCTTTCAAACTGACCTATGATGTGGTGTGCAAAGTACAAAGCGAAATCCAAGATGGCATAGGCGGGTCGACGCTCCGCGATTGCCAGACACGTGGCTGAATAAAAACGACTTCGTCTAACCTACGCCCAACCTACTTTGGAGCCACAGCTACATATTTTGCAAGCTCTATCATCCTATTCACTAACGTCGAACAACCAACAACCTTCCAATAATACATAATTTAGCACAAATTTAAAGTGGCTGTTGAAGCTGGGCTTTGTATGCCCGTTCTACAGTACCTTGAAGTTGATAGCGATCTGGAGGGCATGTGGGATACGGTGTTTTGCGGCATACGGCTTTTCTTTTTGTCCTTACATCTCCTATGCAACGATACTGGGCGCTGTTTCTTGTACTCTTCTTGGCTCCCAACGTCTAGTCCTATGTACTTGTGGCCAACAAATTCCACACAATATGCTGTCTCTCGTGGTCCGAACATCATATAGGTGTCTACGTTACATCTTCAATAGCACACCAATGGGTATGTATGCGACCTTGGCGTTCCTCTTGGGTTTGAGGCTGAATGAAGGATGGAGGTCATACACGGAGACCGTGTCTTATACGTTACCCAAGCGTAATAATGATGGCGTGAGTCAAGTAAATGACGGGAAACAGAGGGTGCCTTACAGCATTTGTAATTACAGATCGCCGTTACTGTGTACATACTACGTAATGTCTGGAACCAGCGTCACTGTGTAGATATGCCCACCGCTGTGTAATGCTACCTACCCACCCACCTACCTCCGAATCCGACGTGAATGACGATATACCGGGAAGTGGGTCCAATCCTGCATTGTGTAGATTATTATCTCTAAAACCTTATCAACGAAGACACCTTGGATTGCACCAATTTCCTGCGACTCAACGCCACCAGCAGTACCCAAGAAGCCGATATCTTTACACTCGCTCATGATTAGGGTGTGCTTTCAGGTACATCTCTGTCTATGAGCTCTTGTGCGGCTTCCTCACTCTGTGTACTCTGCACCATCAATTCCAACTACTCCAATCCGGAAACCCCCAGTCATCCTTTGGATATTTTCTCCATCAGAGTCTGACGTCGCCTCTTCTGGTAGCATCCCAGTTCCGCCCGCTAACAAGACATGTGATTCGCAAAAGCTAAACGATTCCGCCGCCATCATAGAGTAGACCCTGTCTTCCGGCTCTGTATCTTCGCCGACTTTCTTATTCGCAACCCTGGAAACATATAACGCTACTGGCACGAACCCCAGTCATCCAGGGTCAGCCAATAGCGAACAGAGTTCTCCGACCACTACGATAGGCAATGACTCGGGGTCATCCAGTGGCCAATGTAGGATCCTTCCAAGCTTCGCTGCGTAAGTCTCTGATCATATGGTCTATCGTAACTATATTATTGACATCGCATTATCAGTATTGCCTGTATACTTTTCGAGGTCCTATTTCTTCACTGAGAAGGCGCTAATCCGCGACGATAGCACTCCCTTCTTTTCATGAAGGTATCACCGGTGGTCTATATCGCGTTAGCCCAGTGCTACTAAGGTTTGATTTTTCAAACCTTGATTTGCTAGAAAGGATCCAGTATATCATTGTATACATAGATTCGAGCCCCGAGTTCCTCGAGGGTGTTTATACCAGCGTCATGGCGAGACCTTTGAATTGAGGTTCTTTAGGCCAAGTGAGCACAGAGATATCACGAGTGATGTACGAAGCAGCAGCTGAAGAGTGGAAAAACGTTACTTCGAGCAACGTGGTTTACGCTCTTTGTCCTCGTCCTCTTTACTGCCCACGCTTCAAGCAGTGGTATGTACTCTCCCTCCCGGAACTCGCCGACACCCCCCGGGCCTGCACGGCACAGAATACTTCCTAGTGATACGAGAAACGCGAGTCACTTATGGTTCCGGAACCAGATAGTCGGGCTTGAGTGGATGATTCGGCTAACAGACGGCTGGATAAGAGCGACGCGTAGTATGCAAGGCTAGCACTACTCGCGAATCAAAGCTTGACTTTGACCTAGCACAGCCTTTCGAAGATAATAGTTCGGAGCATGCCTTTCCCTGGCCAATACAGAGAATCTTCTCTTCATACACGCTCACAACGGTCAGCAGCCAGACGGGAACAATGCAACGGCACTCACAACACTAATTCTCATACGACTTCTTCGTCGTCGTGTCCTGTATCGCGGTAGTAATCGTCATCGTCCATATTGTCCGTGTGTTTATTTCGGAGAATATTCCTCAAAAGTAAGAATAGTCGTCCTGTCAAAACTTGCCTAATGAACATCCTAGTCCTTGAGACGGAGCTTCTGCTGCTAGTGTAGAATTACAGATGAGCAGAGAACGGCTTCAGGCCATACTGAACTCACCAGGGATGTGCGGTAATCGTGGCTGGCGAATAGATATAGGACCTATAAGACCACAAGTAATTAAGCATTTCAGAAGAACGTTCAAGATCTCAAAAGATGACTATTGAAGTCTCTGGAAGCAAAAATAGCTCGATGAAATCACGCAGGCCTGGAATCATGGCTTTTTTCTGTCTAGGCTGTTGAGTAGACCTATCTCCGCTGTCAGCAATCATGAGGAGTATGTATTGAATGCCATCTTACCACTGCAACAGAGATACGCTCCAATCGGTCCAAAGAGAAAGGAAACTACGTATATTATAGAGATATCCAAGCGTCCACGGTCAGTGATACAGAGATACAAAGAGATCAGGCCTCTCCAGCTAAACCTTCCAAAGCAACTGCGGCCTGCCACATGCCCATTCTCCTAACAGCCCGCAAGGCAGCAGGAGCAGGTATAACAAGAATTAAGCAAGGGAGGACACAGATGACGATAAACAGCGAAAAAAGCAGAGTGATAGGTGGCTTAATGACGAGGAAGTAGAATAATGAGTGATAAGATGTGGGATCGGTGAACTAGTGAGGCATTAGTGGGAAGTAGTATGACAATACAAGGTAATACACACCATCGCATATGTGTTTTTGTAGAAGGAAGTCTCGTCAAGCAAGATGTTCGTGGTAAGAGGTGTGGACTCGATATCCTCTCGAGAAGGTGAACGTTGCCGAGTAAATATGACTGGTTTACGGCGGAGCGATGTTTGAGGGAAATGAAACTTGGTTTGGAGGTATAGCTGCTGATACATCAATAACGGAACTGGGAAAGATAGGAAATGTGCGTACCTCTCCACGCGCAAGGACCCGAGCTACTAGCAAATCAATAAAACATAGCAAAAGGCCCAATGGCAAGGCCACAAGGAGCGTTGTTCCAAGCTACTGCCATCATTACCCAGAACAGGACATGTAAAATGATGACGCACCAGCGTGAACACGAATAGGAATATCCATGTCAATAGAGTGTATGGGAAATTGATGACGGCCAAATGGAATAGCGACATATAATAAACCTTCTTTTTCAGTGGCCGGAAGTAAGACGACGGCGCCTGCGGCAAAGCGCACCCGTCATCCTGGTTATGCTGGTCCGCGCCGTCAAACATCGTGACCATCGTCTGGCCCGACAAAGGCGACCCCGAAATCGAAGAGAGCAGACTGACGTGTGACAACGAGCGAGGTCGTGTCAGAAAAGGAGTGGTTTCATTGGGCAGCTCTGGCGACGGTGCCGCGGAATCAGTGGGTTGATTGCTGCGCCGTGAACGACGGGAGCCTCGTATTCTTCTTGAACGGGAGGGGTATGGCGGCGGCGGGTCGTTCATCATCGAGGCCGTCATTTCAGACTCCAATGATACATCGGAGATGGTCATGGTATGAAGGAGAGCGGCGAACCTGCTGCATGTGACTGATCGAAATGTACGCGCCTTCCTTTTTGGGATGCCTATTGCTTCTTTTATGTCGTGTGAGCCTCCTTTTACAAAATAAAATGTCTAGTAAAATCCAAAGATTGCTCGTAGGTCGCTGATAGACGCCACCACAGATACGGTGGACCTTGAGTGGAAAACGAGTGTCACTGTGACTTGGTATTTATTGTCTGGAAAGCAGCGGGATCTATTATTCCCTACTTGATACCTCGTAAATAGTTTTCACCAGAAAATTGAATTGGCTGTTGACACTCTCGAGTTCCAGCATATCTACTTCTTCCTAATCTCCTTGTTTTTGGACGTTGACATCGACGTGTGGATGCGTCAACGAAATGTCAGATGACGATATGTCGAAGCCTAGTACGACCCTTGCACTCTTAACTTCTTCCTTTTGAGGTCATAGTAGTACAAAGGTGGTAGCGTTGTATGTATGAAGAGAAACGACCAGACCTTGGGGGTGGTAAATTTCTATGTCTGATATTCAAGCTAAATGCATCCCGGGAACCGTTTTACGTTTTACAGCACCTTCGCAGCCGAGTTTTGATGATTCCGAAAGAAGACATCAACACTCCTCGTGGTACTTAGCTCGTCGGTCCCGCCTTTGCTACCAGTAAAATGAGTCTGCTGCATCGAAACCAGTGCGATACTAAGTCAACATCTTGAGAAATATTGGCCTCTGTGATTCAATAGTGATAAGCTCATTACCCGTTTCGAACGGAGGTAATAAAAGAGCTTCTCTGTCAATAAAAAAATAGAATATTTTTTATAAATAAAAAAAAGGTGGTGGTGCGAAGGAACAGGACAGGGAACGTGCGATACAGTTGATCACTTCTGCTCCAGTCACTCCTCAGCGTGGCCTATTATATGATGGGGCGACCGCGAGGAGTTCTTGGGAGTTTAGGAAACGTAGTAATACGCCACAGCGGTGAAGTCGCACAAATGAACGCTAACAATCTAGAGGAGATATCAATTTTGGTGAAGGGAAGATGGCGATTCCAACGTTTTATTTGCCAACTCGGATGAGACGAGCGCCTGGGATAACAAGGGTAAACACCGTGACTGTTGTCCTTATCGTTTCCTAGGTGCTCGAATCTCGTAGATTTGCCGGAATTCCAGCGTCGGCGACTTCATTCTCCGCCGAATCAGAAACTGAGCAATACCGGGTCACCGGGACGGTAGTATGAAAAGTGAGAGGTTTCAGAGAGCAAAGATGGTGAACAACATGAGGTCCTCAATGGTCAGATGCGTCCGTGCCCTAAGCAGCGGAAGCTGAGAACCGGGTGCTATATCAACGACCGTCACAGATGGAGTGAGCTCGACGTACCCGTTGATTGTTACGAGAAATTTGAAAGAGAGACAAAGGGGAGCTTAAGGCCAAGTAGGCGACTGTCGTTACTAAACGTCGGCGAAAAGGCAAGCTTGAAAAAGGACGAGAACAGGGCGATAACGGAACCTCTTGCAGCGGTCTGGCCATGGGTAATTGGTTGTCAGCGTTATGTCTTTGGTGGAAAGTTAACGTGAGAAGGCGACCAAAAGGTGAGCGACATTGGTACCCTCAATTCTTCTCAGCCCAAATATTAATTGTCAACGGTGGCATGACCTAAAAAATGGGCACCCTTTTAATAAATTTAGTAACAGGTGTAATGGGGTAAGCTCAGCCTACCCGCCGATCCCCGTTAGAAAGAGAGGGCAGGTCGTATCCCACAAGGACGCCTTGGAGTCGACACTGCGATAGCGAGTGGGTGCCGCTGGCTGTCCAGGCGTAGGAGTCGTCGGGGGAAAGTTAAGCGAGAAAGAGGATAAAGAAAAGATGACACAAACCCCAGAATAGCCAGGCCGGACACTGATCCTCAGTGTCATGCCACGGCTCAACCCTTTCTGCGCGGCTGTCTACCATGCCATCTCGAAAGACAAAATAGACTTGGATGGGCTGCTTCGGTTCGGGTATTACCATATAAAATGCTGAGACTTGTCATAAGCTGACGTCTTATGATAGAACAACAACACGCACGGCAATAAGAAGCATGCGAGCTATGACATCGTAGAGTGTGCATATTACGATCCATGGGAAGCAGACGAAGAAAACAATCCCGGTTTCCTAAAGCAGGAGGAACCAGGCAATCGATTGTTGATCACAAAAAATTACACGGGTAAGGGTGTGTCCGTTGGCTGATCCCGAAAGGCGTCTGCCGCGGTGTTAAGTCGTAGGCCATGGGTAAAACTGAAATACCACCAACCGGATGACTGAATGCTCCATGTCATCGCTGACACTCGCCATGCTCAGTGTAAGACCATTCAATGGCTGAAAATAGTGGATGTATAGGCTGGAAAGCGTAGGAATGACCCATAGTTGCGTCCGATGAGCAGATTGAAGGACAAGCCAATGATTGGATATGTCTTGCAGTAACGGGCGCAGGGCAGAGAAAAATCGGATTTATTCTCAATTCTGGGGAGGCTTGATATGAGCAAGTGGTCGAGTCATCATCTGCTGCTGCGGTCCTTCCAGGAGCTTTTTGATTGTAACTCGATTCAAGCCTTGTGATCTACCCAGAGAAGACCTAATTCTCAGCTCGGCCCATTTCACAAACGGCGTCATGTTTTGATAAGCCTGTCTTGTTGCGGCCATCTGACCGTCTTCATCCGGACATTCACCAGTCGTACGCGCGCGGTGACCCTCTCGATGTCGACTATTATACATATTAATGATTCATTAAAAATGGAAAGTTAAATCAACAAGCCGTTTATGTCCATTAATGGTGAGAAGGATTTTCCCCACAAAGGCTGGGGCTGAGGGAAGATCACGACCAGTTCGGCGCCGATAATCCTCTTCTTGTTCAAATATAGCGGAAACTTCTCTAACAACGAGAAGGATCTGGGAGGCCGAGAAGGGAGGATCCTGACAGCTAGCTCGGAAGACGCCTGCGGCTACATCTCCTATAACGTCTACTTGCTGTCAAAAGTCATTGGCAGAAAATTGGACAAAGTCGCCTCACTTACCACCAACTGAATCTTTGTATATTTTTGAAGACCTACCAGAAATACCGATGAAGCAAGATCCGTAATATGCTATCACTACCCTTTCATCAATGTGGAGAAGGCTCCGGAGCAGGAAATAACTTAGGTCCAAGCAAGTCCGTGGGAACCCAAGACTCGAAGATGCCGTTCAATCCTCTCTTTGGCTAGTTCATCTAACGCGAGAACATCATCTGAACTTTCTTGTCCTGACTCCACGGAAGACGAAGCATGAGTTACCGTATTCGAGCGAGCTGAATTCATTCTTCAGCCTCTCACGTATACCTTCAGAATTCGCAAATGAGATAACGTACCTTCCCTTGCCTTCATTTCCCGTCGGCACTGGCGCACAGTCCCGGAAAGGTGGGAACACGGAAGGATTCCCAGATACCGCCGCCGGTGGATATGGCATTCTCAAACACGCTCTGAATGGAAGTGTCGGGGTTGAGATCCCCCCTGATTATCATCACATTGAACACAGAAGCAAGTTTTCGCGACGAAGGGTCACAGATTCAGACCCAAGCCAAAACATGAAAATCGCTATACTAGGTTCCCCCAGTCGCCGCCCAGAAATGAATGCCTTCCCACAGCCCAGTTCAAGGATGGTTTCCAGAGACATGGTATTCAAGATGCGTTTTACTTTGTTGAAACGTAGATTTGGCCGAACCCTTCTCAGTAACTTGGCTAATAATGACCGAGTCCGAGTCAGGGTCTCGTAGCGCCCATTGCCATACCGGGCATGGTCCTTCCATTTAGCAATCAGGTCCTAGGGGAAAAGCGAGAAAATCCCCCACATCCTCACTCGATTCGATTTGGACTGGTGTAGGAAACATGCGTTGCGTTTTGACGATGAAAAGAAACTTGCTACGCTCCTTCCGGAATAGTCGGTCCGGGAAGTCCCGTGATGCCCGAATATTCAAAACAATCACCTTATGGGCGCTCATCATCTTCAGACACCTATGTTTCTATGCACAGAATATGCCTAGACTCCTTGACGACCCATTGCTGATCATCGCATTTTACCTTCTTTTAGCGTGGTTCTCCCAGCTGGTGCAGTATCCGGGAGTGCAGGTTGATGTAGGACATGTTAACATCTAGACGCCGGCCTATGCATCACATCAGTGATGACCATCGTACCTGATTACCGGCGGACTTTATTTTTCGAATTCAGGTCAGTCCCATGAATAACTGTTATATTCTTACTACCACGTCGACAACTTCTTCCCCAGACATGGAGAAACCTCTTCCTCTACCGAAAATTAGCATAAACGGAACTGATGCAGACAGCAACGACGTTCCGGAGGATCTGCATCGCCAGCAGTCACTGGACACCGCGTACGATGCTGCGTATTCAAAAATCGAACTGTCCAAGACGCAAAAGAAGGTTGACAAGCTCAGTGAGCAGCCAACAGTCGACATTTGATCTTCTGCCAATGTATATTAGTGGACACCATTGATCTGTCTGGAATTTCGACATCCTACGCGTCTTTCAACACTTGGTATACAGCAAACGAATCAGCGATCGAGTCGGCAGCTACAGCAATTGGTTCGCTTTCATTGGACACAAAATCGATTGATAGCACGTTAAACTCCTTTGCCGAGACCTCTGAAGTAGTGATGAAGGGTTTGGATGCTCTTGGACAATTGCATCCGTTCGTAGGCGGTGAGTCATGATGCATGAACTACAAGCGCCTATTTTGACGCCCAGACGCAGTGGCCGTCCTCGCTTTCAAATTGGTTATTACTCTTGATATGACGCGCCGAGGCAACAACAAAAAGGTTCTTGCTGTAAAGCTTCAAATGCAGGACACGATGATCGTGCTATTTCAGTAAGCACACTAGATGTCCCCTTCTTTCCAAAATATCACTAACACATTCAAGACTTCGTCATATAAAGGACCCTAAAGAAGTTGGGCGCGACGGCACCACGATCGAAGATCGGATGGGTTCCTTGATGGAAGCAATCGCAAAAGACATCCGAGAAACTGGCTCTGCCTGCGACCATTACCTGAAGAAGGGATTTCTTGGTTCGTCTCTACTTCATCGCTTTTCAGACCTCGTCGTTTACCTTCATCTCAGCCAAGACAATGAAGTCCAAGATTTATGAAACTCGTCTGGCCGGTTATGCCGCTAAATTTACTAAATATCGCGAGGACATTGATTACGCCTTACAGATCCATACAGCACTGGGAGTTGAATCTGCTAATGCGAAGCTGGATGTTCAGGACAAGACACTCAAGTCCATGGATCGAAAGCTTGACCAGACAGTGCAGACAATGGAGGCTATGATGATGTCGGTGTTCAGGAAGTTGGACACGGCCCGGGAGCGAGACATTCAGGCGTTCATCAAAGAGAAGGGGGGAGTCAAGGCGTGCATAGACAACGAGCAACTCCTGCACGAGCTTATTGACAAAAGTGGGGAGGGCATCGCAGGCGTATTTGGGCCTCAGTCAGGGACGGGAGAATCATGGTCTGCGGCGAAAGCCAAGGTCCAGAAAGAGATGCTGAAAGAATGGTCCGAAGACGTCGAGCAGGCCTTACAACGGAACATCGTCCACTTTGAGAAGAAGCTTGTAATCCAGCACCGACAACTAGCGTCGATTTTCAAAGATTCATTGAAAAGCACTGAGTCTCATATCCTTAGTGCCATGGCCTCTGGAGCTCATGACAGAGTCATTAATGAAGTAAGTTGTGTTTGTTTCGTTCCGCTCTGTTGCTTATTCCCTTTCAAGGACTTGAAGGAGCTTTGGAAAGATATGGTACGTGCATTCTGTGATACGTTTTTCATGTTGCATTCGTTTGATTCCCTTCAATAGGCCTGGAGGGGTAGCGTCAAGGCCAAGCACCTCATCCTTGCCCTCCATGACTATTTTATTGATAAGCTCGGCGCTTTGAGTGCCTCGCCTATGATGTCACCCGGCGCCTCCGAAGCTGGAAGCCCCATATTCTCACCAATAAGCGCTGTAAACGACGACTTTTTCTATCTCAAATGCAAGAATGATCGCTGGGCTCTGATGTACTTCAATGTTTCCCATGTTCAGCCCATCATCGAAGCCGTGGATGATGACGCGACAGGATTTATCACCACCAAAGAGATTAATACTTTCACAAAGTCTATGCCACCGGGTTGGACGTGGGTTCAGTCGTCAATCACTATGTTTGCAGTTTATTGATCGACTCTTGTAGACTCCCCCAATGGATCGCGTACTGGGCCGGAGGTATGTCTCCCAGCCTGTTTTGTTCGTTTGTGCTGAAGAGTCCTATGATAGGCTGGCACGTCAGTGTGGATCGATATAAAAAGAAGATTCATATGATTCTCTCTACAATGTACAAAACATTTCCCCATGTGTTGCCGGTCAATCGTGAAGCGGTGGCCACGTATCTCCAGTATGGTCCTATCTATCTGGTCGATAGGCTCCTTCGGTCTACTCGGGACGTATCTCCTAACGCCTTGGAAAGCAGTGAATTGCGAAGACTCACTAAGGCGTACACTGAGAGCGAGGAAGCGCGTCTGATGCGTAACCTCGCAGATGTCCTATACGAAATCGATGCAAAATCCACCGTGTTTCTGATAACGGGACCTGGGCGTATTGAACGTGTAGGTTAACCGACCGTCGATCATTGGCTTTCTCTCATCGCTTCTTAGTACATTTATCCCATGCTATATCTTCTTCTCAGGCATCACCTAAGGATAGTCCGTCTATCCACCAGATTCGTTCTAGACCAATATGAAATGCAGAACATGTCTGCATCCTTGTGGAACTTGTTCTCGGTATTCGAGCATCGAATGCAAAATGTGGCATGTATGTTCGTGACTTCTGTAATCTCTGGTCTGTATTGATCAAAGTTATCATCAGCGATCTTCAAGCAGAGTAATGTCGACGTAGTTGAAAAGCTTGAGAACTTTGCTTTTGGCATGGTAAGTCCATGCTCTGTATCTTGTACATTTGAAGTTCTCATATGTTTCATCCAGTTCAAATTGTCGTACAATAATCCCGAAAGGCGACCATCCGAGAGTTCTATTTCCGACTATGTCAATGAAGATCCGACCATTGATGAAGAAGGCACCGAGTCTATTACGGACATCCCTCTCAGCATTCTACGATATCCTCTTCCCGACACCTCTGGATCTGATATGTACAACCTTCCCTCTGATTTCACCGAGGAAGCTCCTGAAGACCCAATACAAGGACAATGGACGGGTCATCTGTACTATGAACATAAATCGGATATTTGCCTGGTACAGCTCCTCATCGATTCCGTGATCGATGGTGCTTTGACTGGGAGAGCGGTGACATGGAAGTGGTCTATGAATATCTCAGGGGACATTAAGGAGGATAACAAGGTGTACATCCGTCTCGCTTTCGATGATGGTGACTTTGTGGACCTTACCGGGGAACTTGATACTGAAAAGGGCATAATCAAGGGGTGGTGCAAATACTTAGGTGCCACCGGAAATGAAGAAGAACATGACTCAGATGAGCAGTCGCCCGATGATGAGGGTGGTGGCGACCAAGGTGACGACAACGGTGACCAAGGAGGCGCCGAAGAGAATAAGGATGGGGATGCCGTGTCCCAGGGGGGTGACCAGGCAGCTTCCGAAGAAGGTACAGGCCGAGTGGACAGTTCGACCCCCCAGAACGATGAAACCGCTGCGGCTGAAGAAAGCCACAGCGGCGCGGCTGACCCCGAGTCTAATGAGGCTGACGTTGACAATCATGCTTCACAAGCATCCGATGGCTCAGGATCTACCGATCCAGAGTCAGAGAATTATTATTACAAGTTTATTTTGCGTCGAACCCCTGCTTCCTTATGCAGATTCCTTCCCGGCGATGAGCGAGTTTTCCCAGTAGCTAACGAGGATGCGGGGAGTCGTGCTCGCGCGCGATGGAGGTTTGCTTGCACGTCTGTGCTGGACCGAATGCGGAGGAAGTCCTTTTCCTGGAAGTTCTTGAAGGACAGGTTCGCTGAAAGACGCCGCTTCCTGGAACTGGCCGTCAGAGAACAATGTGTGAAGGACAATCTTTGCCCACGTAGCCCTTTGTCTGAGGAGGAGGAGGAAGAACTGTATCGTTTGAAGTGCATCCTTTGTCCGATGGATATTCGGTATTACTATTCTTTTGCCGCTGATGAGATAACCCGGCGCAAATTTATGTGAGTCCACAGTTCAGTCATTTCTTCCCCGATACCCATCGTTCCACTAGTGGTTACGGTTGCGATTCATGTCATGGTTCGATTTTAGGGAGTAGGCTGGCCTGCCTCACCTGTATGAACGACTCATTCACGGACACGATTGACTTATGCACGAGTTGTATTGATACAAGCTGCGAACGCGGTGGATTTGTTCACGACCCGTCCCATGATCTGCTCAAGTTCGATAGTGTCGTCCTGGATGGTCGTCTGCGGTGGATGATTCCTGAAGCCCGTTCTATGGTAGTCCGCATCAAAGGGGAGTTCCGATCTTCCCTCAAGAACCGTGTCGAGCCCGTGGAGAAGAGTAGCTCCTCCCACGGTAGCCAGTCGAAGAAGGAAGCGCTAACTCCAGCCGCACCCCCAAAATGTCGGTGCTGTGGGAAAGTTGTATCCATACCTTGTTGGGTATGTTTGATCTGCAGTGCGTTTTTTTTTTTCGTTTGCTGCCCGTAGTCTCGAGCGCTGATTATCACTGGCTCCAGCCATCGATGCGTATGTTTGCGACGAGTGCGATGCGAAGAAGAAGGAACCCATGCCAGGTGATCCCCACGAGCTCGGGGAGCCCCTTCTACGAATCGCCGATTGCAATCCTCCCGTGGAGGTTGTCGCGACCGAGGTGAAGCTGGCAGCTCTCGAGAAGAAGTTCGACAAAGTTGATCAACGGCTAGCGGCACTTGAAGACAGAGTCGAGAGCCGATTATCCTTAATGGAAACGATGTTGAAGGAATACTTCAGCAGTTCAACCCACGGAAATGTTTCGAAGGGCAGCGATGATGGATGCGTTTTGGCTGCAGGAGCCGAGTCATAGTGTTCATTGCTGTAAATGGATGTACACAGATGCAACGGGTGCCGGCACGGGGGTTTCCTTATGCCAGTAGTCATAACGTACGATGTCTAAGTGCGCATGGGATTCTGATAGGGCAATCAGCGTCGTTGTCGGCCTGGGATGGTGATGTTGGGAAGTTCCGACCTCAAGTCGTCGGCGGAGACCTGTAGCATAACCGTCAATTAAGTACACAGCTACGTTCGTGATGATATCAGATACCTATTGATAGGATGATAGTGAGAATGACGCAAACACCCAGAGAGTCGCAAGGCTTCGAATTCAACATAAATGGGAGTAAGTTCAGAAGGGAGATCGAAAGAGATGGGCGATAGAACAATGGCACCGCTACTTTAGTTGCCCGGTTCCCGAGCAACAAAAAGACGAGTGCGTGTTGGACATACTTACAGGAGCAGGCATCTCGATGACGATATAGACATTCGCACACGAACTTAGAGCAATCAGCACGGGGCAGTCGTGGGGTACTTTTCGATTGTGTTAGTCATCAATGTCAACTTCTTACCCGCACTAGATCCTTCGAAAAGCACAAATTTCGCCTCCAGGGTGATCCAAAGAGAACCATTCATCGTTTGACGGATGCTACGATGTTTGGGGACGAGAGATCAGAGCCATTATGCTGGTGATTTTTGCGTAAGGATTTTACACCTTAGGCGTATCGTCGGATCTTTGCCTGGAAGCAACACATTATTGACACTGGCATCCGCCGCGAGTAAAATGAACATATTAGACAGGATAATAGGCAAGTCGGAATCAGCCGATCAATGTAACCTAGCAGAATATGAGGACGTAAGATTGAGGGGAAAAGAAGCAGATACTCAATAGGTATATTAAAAGTGGCGGCGATGCGGAGGAGGTAACTAGTCCTAAGTGCTACTAGTGTCTATTTCAGATTGAAACGACGCCCCCAGTGGGCATCTTTCGGAGGCGCCCGAATAATGTAGCAACGCTAGCAAGTCAAAGGTCCCTCGATACACATTTTTAGCGGTACCACATGTGTCTTTGATCGCCGCCGTAGGTACCTTGCGAGGGGTCAATTCAAAAGCGAAAGCCGGGAATCAATTCGGTCGGAGAATGCTCATGGCGGGACAGAAAGGTTAGAAGTCTAATCAATTTGTGTCATTTTTTGAGGGTGCTGTAAATGGACTTAAAGGATTGTGAACCAGCCGATAAAGTGAGTGAAATCGACGCTTACGATGTGCTGGAAAACCTTGTGTGCCGCGTGTCCTGAGGCGCTGCCTGCAACGAGGACGATTCGGACGCCACCTAGCCCTAGGACCGACCCAGTACTTATAATGGTTCGTTGATGCGTGGTCGGAGCTTGCCATTGAGACGGCTATAGCGGCCAGGGTACCACGGACGGAAGTTCCCGAGGTGGTGAGCGAGTACATATTTAAGCCACGTATTCCGGAGTCGTTGCCCCCAGTATCAACCTTCACAGGCGATATACAAGCCCACACATCCTCTTCGTGTTACAGAAAAACCAGAGCGACCCGTACGTCACGTGCCCGTTCCTTTTTCGTTTTTTTCATTGATCTTCCCCGGACCGTCATGGCTCTCGACTGGCAGTTTCATGTATGTCCCTCCAATCCTGTTTTCATGCACAGCCTTTGAAGAGATTCACATCCAGGGCAAACATATTCGTACGTATACCCTCCATGGTCAATTTTGTTATTACCTTGACGCGTCTACCACCGTCGACTTGTAGTTCGATATAACCATCGATTCCCGCCCCGCGGGAAGGATCGTATTCCGTCTGTACGATGAGCTAGTTCCAAGGACGGCTAAGAACTTTCGGGAGCTGGCCACGGGCCAGCATGGATTCGGATATGCCGGTTGCAGCTTCCACCGTATAATACCAGGGGTGAGTATCTTCTCCAATACAAACATTCTTCCTGTCCATCTTCCTTGATGCTGATAATTGAATCGTTCTAGTTCATGATTCAGGCGGGTGATTTTACGGCGCATAACGGAACGGGTGGAAAGTCGATATACGGCTTGAAGTTTCGAGGTGAGTGTCGAGTTGTCTGATTCCGGCCTAGGGTTTGACTGGACTTGTCTAGATGAGAGTTTTAGAAGAAAACACGACCGACCTGGGCTTTTGTCCATGGCAAATGCCGGTCCAAATACTAACGGTTCTCAGGTGTGTATTCTTCTCTTGATTGATCTAAACATATGACTGACATCGTTCCAGTTTTTCATCACGACTGTAAAGACTCCTTGGGTAAGTTTCACGATGTACTTACCATCGTCACAAGGTGTGCTTACCACTGTTTTCGTTTTAGCTGGACGGACGACATGTGGTATTCGGAGAAGTTGTAGAAGGTATGGATCTTGTGAAGGAGATCGAAATGACAGGTACCGCGAGCGGCGCACCAAAGAAGAAGGTGGAGATATCAGCGTCAGGCACAGTTGCGTGAATTGTTGACCTTTGTGTTTAATCTATTGCTCTGTTTTGCGTTGCCATTTGTTATCCTTCTGTTATTCCATATCTATGTTACTTAATGCTATACTGCTGCTCTGTGATCCTGTGATTACTATTTCTCACTGTTCGTGAGTGCGTGTGTGTTCTTTATGATTAATCGAGCGAGCCGCCGCTGAGATCTCGTTAGAATTATTTATAGGTATATGATTAATGGCACTCAGAAGACACCATGGTACATGTCCAACAGGCTACAATTGCGAATTCAATAAAAATAACTGGAAACTCTCCGCGAGGTCACGTCAAGGAAGCAGGTAATTGCGGCGCCGTCGCCACGGGTCTGTGCGTTTTCAAGCCGCCCGAGGCCCCCGAATATAGCGCGAGATAGACATAGCCCAAAGATCTCTGCAATATCATATCTCTAGTACGGCATCCCATCGCCCTTCCATACCAAACTCGAACCTCTCTTTATGGTCCTGTAATGCTGACGCGATACTCCCCCACTTCCCTTCCCCCCTTGCCACCAATCGAACATCAACACCTGTCAAATCAGAAATTAACTCCGCTTGAGCAATCTTGTCGTTTAGCGGCTCATGGTAGCTATCGTCATCTGAGGACGAGGGCGCATGACCTCGCCTTATGTACCCGAGGTCTGTCTCGACAAGGATTTTCTGTATCGTGCGCGGAAGAATGCATCTGGTGGCCATGGCCGACACCAAGGTCGAGGTCGAGGTCTGTAAGAATTGGGGGACGCCAAGGGATTGCCCGACCTGTCTGAGAGATAGGCCGCGCTCAAGGACATATAAGTGCGTGAGGAATGGGCATGCTCGTCCAATGTCTCTAGCTAAGGTTTTCCCGCCCGAAAGCACAGATAAGTGTAATCGCCGGAGGGAAGGGAACGCTCGTCGCTCAATGTAGGTGTCGAAGTGGCCGTAGAGAGTCAATTCTTTGAGGTTCGGGAAGAAACCATTTTGCGGAAGTATAGAATTTCTGAGGAATAGGAGATGAACTGTTAATGTGACCACTGTCCGTGACACGAGTCGCAGAATTCTTGTCATGGCGTTGTATATTTGGGCCGGGTTCGGGTAGATACTGGCATCTGGACCCGGATACGTGGACGCGATGAAGAGGTGACAGACTGTTGTTTCATTCAACGGCAAGCTGTCCAAATGTTCTCTCAACCCGATAATCTGCCTTGCACTAGTTACACAAAGCGAGTTCAATCGGAAGGGCTTGACAAGGCGATGCGCCCGTTTGCTGACAAGAGAGATAGAACGCCCTGTTTGGCCCCCATCAGTGCAGGCATAGTAGCATACGCGGGTCAAAATTTCGCAAGGGAAAGTATCCATGTCGTGGTCAAGCGCCAAAGTCGATGGGACCAGGGTAACAGCCCCCCCCTAACAGAGACAAAGTTCGATGCGTCATCATTTGTGATCGTTCGAACTTTCTTCGAATTTTCCATTTACGCATTCCCTTGCCGCCGGCCAATAACATTTTTTGCAGACTCTTATTCTTTTGCTGTGAAGAAGTTAAATACTAGCTCATCAACTTGTGCAGCGGGGCAGCTACCAGTCTGCTTTAGTAGATGATTTCTTCTATTACTGATACGATTTGCGTGAGTGCGTGGGCAGAAGTGGGGAATAGGATCGTCTGATAGATTGATTTATGCTGAAGTAGATGTCGTCGGGACCGTCATGAAACTACTAACAGGATAATTCGGATGATATCCATGTTTCGGATACGAATCTTGTTCGCGTATGGCCTTCAAGATATGCGCAGCTGCCAAGAACCAGGTTGTTTCATTATTGTATCCGGAAACATCTAGAATACGTGGACTACTGTCAACGTGTTTCTTACGGATGCACAAAGGAGAAATATCGATTATCTAGCTCAGGATCTTCTTTGTAGGTTCTGTTTTCTCTTATGAAACTAATCTAGGCAGTAGCGGTCCTATTCCATTCGCATGCGCTGCTGTTCGAATCGAGGACCATGGCGCTATTTTTTTGACATGCAGCCATTGCTGTGTTTTTTTTTAAAGGAATATTCGTTGATTTTGTACTGGCGGTTGCTACGGCCTAATGTGTGTATGCATGGCCCTTTACGCGGCAAGGATATTCTACTTATGAATGCCCAGATGGAAACTCAGAACCACATTATGGGACCTTGGACAACACAAGGTGTACTGCCGTACAGCGTTTCATCTGCACCATGGCTAGATCGTAGGCGAATCGACTGAGGCCTGTCTGCGGCGTGCCGTGGCATAACACGCCTTTGAGGCGTGTACCAGAGGAGGAGAACCAAACCATATCTGATTAATCTTATCTGATAAGAGGGGGGAATCATGGGGCCATTTGTGCGATATCTCCGCTATATTGCTTTACTACCACGGTTTCTTCTCATACTAAGTCCTTGACACAAGCACGCGTGTTACTTGTCATCACATGTACACGGGCATATCGAATCCAGAAGCGAAATACTAGAGACAGCTTGTTTGTTAGTCAGACTCAGAATACTCCACCTTCTTCTACAAACCCACGATCTTTTCGGATAGGATGAAAGTATGGGCTCACAACGCGTACGATCACACCAGGTTTTTCAAGCATATAGTTGCGCCCTCGTAGTACCGGAACATGTACTGTCAGCGGAATAGGTGGACAGCATACCTCCATCGGTCCGGCGCTCTCCATTGTTGACGTGCCTGTATTGATTAGTCGTAGGCTGTGTGGGACTAACGAAAAGTAGTCGTTTTAGATGACCAGAGTTCAATAAAATCCACCAAGTCAGAGCATTGCTTTCCCATGAACTCTTCATAGCCGGCAGTGTAGCCTCGCCGGATTCTGAATAAGGGACCGGGACTAGATCTCGACTAGAAGACGTATTCGCGGGTCTAGTACATTCTTGATAGCGTATCGGAACTAATGCTCGCACTTTCAATCCACCGGTGGGGTTCTCTCTCCAGAGGGTGGGCATCCGTTCCGTTTACACGACAGATGCACACTACCATATATGATACTTTTGTCCCTGCCCTGTATCCAAAGTTACCGCTCAAAGCCACAGTCTCACCAGGGGCGCTCACCGTGACTTCAGGTATAAATCCCATCCACAAACGCCAGCTTAGTCATTTCCAGACATTCCGCGATGACGATGAACTTCACTGCTGGCAGTGGCACCGCATCGACATCGCCGTAGTTGGAGCTCAGAGGTCCAGAATTTTTCGTGCGTTCTTGTTCGGAGCAGAGCGGCGGTGGCAGAAAGAGAGTCAGAGTAGGAATCGAAGTAGAACGATCAAAAAAGACCCACGGCGAGCCAGAGGTGGTGCGATACCCTTGCCTAATCAGCAGTTTCAGACTAACTTTCATTTAGATGGAGCAGAGCAATGTTGACCGACGTCTAAGGACATTAGCTCTTATTCGCCTCCCATTCAGAGGCTTCGCTCCTACCAGCATGGGCGTAAGATCTCTATCGTGATTCGCGTGGACGGTTTCATCTAGCCCTTCTCGATAGGTAGGTGCTCCTCGTGTAAATAAAGTCAACGAATGTGGTATACAGTATACGGTTTCATTCAGAGAAAGAAGCAACCGTACTGCTCGAGGAAAACTCAAGTCGGGGTGTCTCCCACCGCTCTCAGAGGGAATGTCGACGTCCTGAAAAGCCCTCTTCATATATGGAGTACCGGGCATCAGTGATCAGAGCTGGAGAAGACGTCAGTCACGGTAAATTTAGGCCCGGACTCATGACGGATATCTAACCGCAGTATCAATGAAGGACAGGTGGCGTACTTGATGTGCTGTAGTGAGCACCCGTTGAGCAGTTGCGTTTTCCTATAGACATCAGTCGCATGATGGGTTGTTACAAAATCGATATCGCCTCATGGATCAAAGGCCTAGATTTGTGTGGGGTTATGTAAAATACTCAAGACCACTCAGGCTGGTCCTATTTAAGAGGCGCTTTTTCATTCTCACTGCAAAGGGTCGATTATGCATTTCTCTTGTACAACGGCAACTTTGCGTATCGGCAGAGGATCGAGTGTGAGACCGAGGAGATCATATGGCATCATGGATAGCTGAGCGGGTGCCTATCAACTCATGCTCCGAACGCGGTAAAGAAGTGGCCAATTTCCTGTACCGGCATGCAGCCTGTTGTGCAGATGCTGAGTCTATGTTTCAGAATATGGAGAAGCAGGGTGACTTTCTCCAGGTTCTATCAGCTTGTTGTTTCTGCTTTGCATAGAATTCCTGGAGTAGTGAAGTTTTGTTGATTGGTATTGGTTTTCACAGTGGTGCTGGTATATTCCACTGCTCACTGACATCACCTCATGCTGCTGCCTTCACTTCTTCATCTGCCATTTCATTACCTGCAATGCCTTGTGAAATGCTGAGAAGTGGCTATGAATGAATCAACAATGTACAAGGCACATACCACTAAAACACTAACACCAAATCACAGTGTGATTTAAGGGAGGAATAGTAATACCTGGATTCTCAGTATATAGAGAAGGTAACATTGATAGAGTGCAATAGAATGTAATTCAAGGATATATATTGCAGCCTACTTGGACAAAGTTGTCAGTGTCACTGAACACAACAAAATCTATCTCAAATAGTCTGCCTGATGCAGTTTCTCAGCTGATATGGTGCACCTGGTTGTGACTTATACACAAAACTGAACTGTTCTGACTGTCTGACACAAAATTTTGGTTGCTTTCTGAGGTTCTTGCACAAAACAAAGTGACCTGATCACCACAATACTATTCAAGTTGAGTTTATGACTTGAAGTTCTTAACACAACTCTTACTGTTTGCTTGGTAGTGTTTCAGTGTAAGGCTAGCAAACTCCCTGATATAAGAAGGATGCATCTGCTCATGCAAGTTCTTTTATAATTGTGAGGGAGAAATCCAGCAGTTCAGAGTGGATCTGACAGAATCCATCTGAAGCAAATAGCTTGTTTGTAGAACAATGTTACAATTTTTCCATTTCCTTTCTTGATTAACCCCTATTTATGCTTAGTCAGGGTGCTAAACACAGGTGCTTAAGACCATGAGACAAGGCTTAGTCATCACAAACAAGCCAAGTCAGTTATTGTCTTTTGACACAACAGCATTGCCTGATAATGCACAATCATCCTTTTATGTATGGTAATAACACTCAAGGACAATGGGCACAATGGACTCAGCAACATACAATTAGTAGCAGTATATTTAGCACAGGACTTATACAGTATTTAAGAGGCTCACTCTTGCTGAAAAACCCTAGCTTCAAGCTAAAGTTTATTCACACCATTCTACCCTTGAGCTAATTCTTGGCCTTGTGACACAATGAATCAGAAGTGCATCAGTGGACTCAGACAACTGCCCAAAGTGCAAGGTAGCTTCTGTTTATCATGTGTTTCTGTTTACATGATGCTTGGATCTAACAATTAGCTTGAAGCTTCTCCTTCTCTTTCCTCATACCTATTAGTGCAGAGGAAACCAAATGCCCTCTATCAACCCTTCAGACCTGAACTTCAATCACAAGTTCTTTGAACTCCTCACTTCTATTGTCAGAACATTGTTGGGATTATTGGTGATCATCCAGCTGTGCCAGGGATGCCATTCAATTACCACTTGGGCCATCAGACATTATAATGAGTTTCAGCATATCCAACACATCTTATGAAATGTAACCTCTGATCTTCCTCTATATGACATCTCCAAATCCCAATGAATGTCTCACCAGCCCCCAGCAAGCCCCTTATCAGAAGCTGGACCTAGCAGCCTGCATCAAGGGGACATTCAGAAAGAAGAAAGACACCAATACCCTCTCAGATGACCTAGCCAAGATTGCAATCCTCATGTCTTGGGATTCAGAAACCCATGAGTCCCAGGACCCCCACTAAATCATAAGGATGAGGACATCCCAGGAGACTTCTTTCAGCAGTCTCCCACATCTGACTCTACCATCACCTCTCAAACTGGAGAGATTGCTGACTATACCAGAGATTCTCTCAATGCCACTCAGTTGGCTGCAGGATCCCACCAGATATCACCTTGAAGCCAGCCTCACAGCCCTGCCACATCTCCTCTCTACTCAGTTGAGACAAGCAGTGGGCTGGGGAGGACATTTTTGGACTGGCTCAATGATGAGTGCTGAAACAGAGAAGCCTGAGACGAAATTATACACTGATATTTCCCTATCTGAGACACCAACATCCTCTTCAACTATGACAAAGCCCTCTGACAAGAAGAACAAAGGCAGCAAACTGCACTGCAGCCAGTTTGCAGTGAGTTTGAGAAATGCATCATTGAAAGCAGTAGAAGGAGATAGGAAGCTGCTGAATATGACTGGCAATATTGAGACAAGCAGTGAGAAGTTGAGAGAGCCTGACTAGAAAGAGCTGACATCTCAAATTGGTATAGGCTCTGGTCTGAGGGTGCTGCTGTCCTTGCCCCAGTATATGCTGATGCTTTCCTCTCTACCCTGGTCTTTAGAGAGCCAAGCACTGAGTCCAGCCAGTGGAGCAAGAATCACTGGAGAAATGAAACCCTTACAGCAGAAGGAAGAGCCTCTGAGTCTCCCTCATGCCTCTCAACTCCCCAGTATCCCTCTCCCCAATGAACTCCCAGTAATGACACCATGTTTGGAGATGATGAGTCCATTCTCAGACACTACAGGCTATGAGTCCCTGAGACTGCTCACATCTCCACCCATGCACTCTGAGGATTCCTTGGGAGCTGAGTGGTTGGGCAGTTACTTGATGATAGATACAGGTGAAATATCCAGCTCTATCATGAGCAAGTGGAGGTGGTGAGAGCAACAGAGGGAAACTGATATGATGAACATATTGGTAGTCAGCCGGCCTCCACCTACTACAGCTCTTCTAATGCCTCCAGCTCTACCACTGGCTCCAGCACTCAGCCAGGATAGTGGAATGACAGCCTGACCACCAGAGGACATAGAGAGTTTCTACACTCTGCCCACCATCTTCTCTGAGGGGGAGAATGATGAGGATGAGGAAGAAAAGGAAACTGAAAGTAGTGATCCACCTTATGCTGGGAGGGCCTCTCTTATTTTCTGCAAGAAGATACAGATAAAGAAGAACTGAAGAAGATGATATAAGAGGTGAGGACCCAGGAATATCAGGAGTTATATCTATGAGAGGTAAACTTTTTATGGCATGACACCACCTGGGTGGCATCGCAATTAGGACAATTATATTTGCAGTTGTCAACTAACAAAAAAACAGAAATCCTGAGGTATGTGGCAACTGACTATGCTGCTATCCAATATAACAAGAAACACCCAGAAGACCAGATCCATTGGCCACTGGCATATCTGATGCCAAAGCCAGTACAACTAATGCCATGGTCATCACTCATTACTCTGAAATGAGCCATGTATACAGCACCCTTCATCCAGAGTACATTTTCATACTCCACTCCATTATTCCAGTCAACAGCAATATAGTTCTCACACACCCAATCACAACCTAGGGAGGCACTGATCTCCTACTGAAACCCTTGGACTGACAAAGGAAGCCACATCCTAGGGGTCCAGCCCCCTTCTGATCAAGCAAGCAGGAGTGGTGCCAGAAAAAAACCAATTAGAGATGATCCAGAAGCAGTATGGCTCAGATTCACCATATGGGATGAAGTTATAGTGTGAAAGGAGGAATCACTATGAGGAAGCCCAATGGCAGATGACAACTTGCTTCACTCCTTTCTGGGACCATCACAAGAATAGCAGTAACCTCTATTTTCTGACTGGTCCAACCCTATAAGTATATTACTCTATAATGCTGCTATTCTTCAATGTTACCCTGATCTCTTACACAAGCTCTGCCTCTTTAAGAGAGCCTCCGATGACATCTACTGATTTCTGGTCAATTGTGAACAGTATTTTGAGGTATACATCAGATATCTTAGCACAGACATGAACAAGATTGTCTTTGCTGCCTCCTATCTTGAAGAGAAGGCCAAAACATGATGGATCCTTATCTCTCCAAACTTCCAATCGTCGACTTAGGAGCACTATCAATACTCCTCATGGCTCATCTTTAAACAAATGCTCTATGATAAATTCATTGATCCTGCCATACAAGAAGTATATAAACAAAAGATCAAGGAGTACAAGATGGCTGACAAGGTGGCAACAGACTACTTCAATAAGCTAGAATGATTAGCCAAGCTTACCAGAATTTAGGATGATATGGCAAATAGTGGAAAAATAGTCAAGGCCCTCAAGAGAGAGGTCCCCTCCTCCTACATCACAATGATTTCGGCAATTAGCATCCGAGCCCTTATGCTGAACAGCTATGACAAATGGAAGGAATAAATCATTGAGATGTACAAGAAGTGACAAAGGCAGAAAGCAGAATCAGTGACACTGTAAGACTACATGAAGAAGTTGACACTGCCAACTCTGAACAAGTTGTTGGAGACAACTGCTGAGAAATCATTGGAACCCTCAATGGCCCCTGTCTATGGCATGCAGAAGACCAGAACAGGCACCACATACACCAGGACAGACAAGCCAATGGATATAGACTGGATGAAGAAGAAAGAAAAGTGCTTCAACTGTAGACAAAAGGGTCATATGGCCAAAGACTGTTCAAAGAAAAAGTGAACTCAAGAAGACATCCAGGTGCAGATCACTGAGCTACAGAAAGAAGAAGAAGGACTTGGCAAGGAAACAAAGGTTGAGGA